TTGGGTTTTTTCCTAAAAAGCAAGACATAATTTCAGTAAAAAATTAGTTGCTTAAGAGTCAGTTCAGGTAAACCAGTTTGTTGAAGATGAAATTTGTTGACCTCAAATGACCTCATACCAGCTAGCACTCAATCTAGACTTTGGTGATTTTTTTAAAATGAACTTTAGGATTTAGATGCTTGGAAGTAAGGAGTCTTCAGCTAGCCCATGATGTGTGTAGCCGAACCTATTAGGAGGAGCAGTATTCATGTAGAAGAGCCATGGAGAACTTGAGGTGTGACTTGCATAGACCTGGGATTAGACACCAGCCTTGCAACATACATTAACTGTGTGACCTAGGGGAAGTTATTTAACCTCTTAACCCTCACTTTCCCTGCCTATAAATGGGAGTAAAAGTTTCTACTTCCTATAAGATGACTGAGAATCCAGCAAGATCTTATACATAAATATAAGACCCCTACACCTTGTCCAGCCCAGAGAGTGACTTATTAATAAGTCCCGGTGATAAGATAAAGTGATAATTGGCTCCATTCTGGGGAAGTGTCCTACATCAGGAGGACAGGGAGGTACTTGCCTCATGTACAAAGCCTAGTAGCTAACACACAGAAAGCTCTTCCTAGAACTTTATTGAGTGGATTAAGTAAATAAACAGGGTATTTGGCTTTATGATTGCTTAAACCAGTGTATCAAAGGAGTTTGATTCAGAGGTGATGACAGGTTTTAGCAGTGGACTTGTCTGCGTCGATGTTTTGGTTTATGTCTTGAATGGGAATGATCAGATTTGATCAGATTTGCCAGAAGCCTGGACTCAGGATGAGCACTGGTTTTGGAAAGATCTTGATAGTTTAAATGATGCTGCTGTGTCTAACACTGAAATATTCTCTTTCTAAGAATGTTTTCTGATTAAGTTCGTACAAAGTCATTTTAGAAAATTTGGAGAGAGGATAATTGCCATCCTCAAAGGTAACTCTTGTTCACATTTTGGTATGTATCCTTCTAGAAGACAACAGCAATCAAATGTCACATTATTTTATTTTTGCTTTTTGAGACAAGGTCTCGCTCTGTAGTTTAGGCTGGCCTTAAACTCACTAACCCGAGGCTGGCCTCAGGTGCCAATCCCCCTGCCTCTACATCCTGAGTGCTGGGATTACAGGTGTGTGCCACCACGCCCAGCATGCATGTTTTATAACTAAACAGAATGCAGTTAAGAAGGCCTGATAGGATTGTTATCAGGAACCTGGGGTGTAGATCCGTAATGCCTAGGCAAAGCCTTGACCCTAACATCTGTGCCTGAGTGCCCTCATTTTAGAATGATGCCACTCTCTATGTTAACAGATGAGATAATTGATGGAAATACTTAGCATAGTGCCTGGCATGTAGTATCTGTTTAGTAGTTTATTAATCTCAAAGGCTTGGCATCTTAGATTCTTGGGCTGGGTGGGCTCTAGAGATCATCTGCCACAGTCCCTTTCACAGGTGCATGAACAGACTCAGAGGGAAGTGACTTGCTTAATGTCGCAGAGCTAATTTTTAGTAGATCCAGATATTCCCTCTCTGCTCAAAAGTCACCTTAACATAAGCAGGAAGTTTATTTCCTTTCCTTTCTTCCCTCGGCCCATGCCTCTTCTGTTACACAAAGGCTGGGATTTATAACTCTGCACTTCTCTCTTGTCTGTTACTTCCTCAAGAGCATGGCTAATCTTTCAGGTTTGAATCTTCAGCACCAAGAGATCGCTGCTGAATGAAGAGGGTGCTGTGGTTGCTGGAGGATAAAGCTAACAAGTAGAATAGTGTCCAGATTGTGGAAAGGGATAATTCCACTGTGTGTCGTTCATTCATATAGCTAGTATGTATTGAGTGCTCACTGTATGCCAGGCATGGGTTCAGGCAGAGGATGCAGTGCTGCACAGGACAGACTCGTCCCATTTTGGAATTTACAATCTAATGTGACAGATGGGCACCAAATCAGGAATTGCATGCTTTATTCTTATTGCGCTGAGTGCTACAGAAGCGTGTAAGGGTGCCAGGAGAGCCAGGAACAGGGAAACATGGCTTGATTCGGTGGAGAGGGGAGGTCAGAAGGTCTCATCTGAGGAAGGAGCTCAGCCTCCATCGGTGGTAAGTGTGGGTGAGCCAGCCAGGGAGAGTGTTGGCAGCGTGGGTGTGGGAATCGCATTGCGGGGGTGGGTGGGTGGGGGGACAGGTACTGTACGTTGTTCTAGGGCACTGAGGAAGACCAGGGTGCCAAAGGGGAAAGGTGAGCTGGTTAGATGGCCGAAGACCATATTCTACAGGCTTTGTAGATCTTCTTGCAGATTTTCACTTTTGGCCTAGACCAAGGGAAAGCCTGTCTAATGCTGTGCTTCACTCTGAGTCCTTCTTTTAGTCAGATGCTGACAGGCGAATAAAGAGTGGCCAAGATGATTAGATGTCTAAGCTTTGTGTACTACTTGGAATAGCAAGTCCTGAGCAAAGGGAAAGGGCACTATAGGCTGTCCAGGGATGTTGCATACACAGGGAAATGAGCACACTCCGTGTCGCAGCAGAAAGCTGCAGAGTAGTAGGCAGGCAGACCAGGAGGCAGAGCTTGCCTGAGTGATGGAAAGGCTTCCTAGGAGTGGCCAACAGCAGGATAGGCTGCCTCCTGGCATGAAAGGGATGTGTGGACAGGGGCTGCAAAGCCACCTGATAGGGAGCCTGTGATAGGAATTCCATGTATGGTAGGAACGGCCTTCGGGCCTTTTTGTGCCTCTCTGTGTGTAAATCAGGTGAAATCTGAAAGTTTCATACTGTCTTGCAAATGATTCAGCCAGACCTGAAGCTTCATCTCTTTCTTTAATTCTGAAAATTCATAAACTTGGGACTTTGTAAAAGTAAATTTGTAAAGTAGGCCAGCACTTCATTGATATTAAATATTTGAAGTTATATTTATTAAATTACTTCAGTAAAGGGATATTTATGGCTGCCAGGAGAAAAGAACTGTTGTTTTTATTGATAAGTTAGTCTGAAGCCGACAGTCATGGCTAGAGCGAGCCAGTGTGTAAGCACAAGCCATTATTTCAAGCAAAGAGGAAAAGAACCTGTTCCAAAACTGCAGAGTGACAAGTATTGGCTACTTGTGTAAATGGGAAGGAAAGGCCAGAAAAAATAGAAGAGTTGAGTTTCACTTTGTTGTTATGGAGATAAGCACCAGGCAAGACAGGCCTAATGGTGGCCAGCCTGCGATAGGCGAAAGGCAAGGAGGGCTGGAAATAACAGTGATGAAAGTGATGGATGGAACAGCGTTCTCATTTGGAATGGGAACGGTGAGTACCAATTGTCTGCAGCCCATCTGAATCTGGAGGAGCAGCTTGAGGGGAGAGGACAGATATCCAAGCCCTAGGGTAGAGCGGTAATGAAGGTTTCCGCTTCCTGGGCATGAGCTGGGACACGGCTTCCCACTCATCTCTGTCCCCTGTGTAGTCTCCACATGCTCTGTTCTCAAGCAGATGGGTTGCTAGGGGTATGGGTTGACTTAGTGTGCGCTTCACAGGGTGGGCGCTTGCTTCCTGTAACACAGACTCAGTAGTTGGCCACCAGCCGGAAACTGTCTGTGTTCCTGACCCTCACCCTCGTCTTGAGTGAGTGAACAGTTACCATGAACAGTGGTCTTTTTTTTTCCCCTTTTTCTTTTTGGAGAAAAGTTGCCAGAGCATCTGATTGCAAACCCTAAACTGTTGCTTGCCATATGGGGCATAATGATCTCTGCAGGAAGAGCTGCAGTTCTTCTGTGGGCAGTCAGGCTTCACTTCAAGGTCTGTCTTCATGAGCTAATGCATCTCTTCTTGGTCTTTCCTTTTGGGAACAACGCAGCGAGCAAAGGCTACCAAGAGGAAACACGGAGTGTCCAGTGATGCTCCCCCAGCAAAGCGAAGGAATGAAATGTCCTTTCTCTCAGCCAAGAAGACTAGTGAGAAAGAAACTCAAAGAACTTTCAAGGTGAAGTCACACAAAAAATTTTCTCCCAAGAAGTATTCGGTTAACGCAGGTGATGGAAAGCAAGAGGAGAAACCATGCATTAAGACTTCATCGTTGTTTAAAAACAACCCTGAAATCCCAGAACTCGACAGGTACATGCAGGTGCAGATGCACTTCCGGAATAGAGGGAATTATGTATGTTCTGCCTTTTCCTATGCTAACATTGGCACCGGTGTCTGGGTTTTGCAGGCCTGTGGTAAAGCAGGCGCGAGAGCAAGTATTCACTCCCGAGGCTTTTCACGAGCTGGGCCTCCACCCACACCTGGTGAGTACCCGTGGCTCTGTGTGGGTCTGAGTGGTCAGTGTGTGCGTTTGTCCACAGTGTCTGTTTCTGCTCCCAGAGTGACGGCACATTCTCCTGCTAGGGCAAGCCAGGTTTGCAGAGGTCATTGCTCGCTCCCTGCCTTGTTTCCTTGTTTTAAGAACTGGAGACTTTCCTCACCTAATGCAGTTTAGCACCAGGACTTCACTAACTAGACTTCACACAGCTTCCTGATTGTTGGGTAGGGGAGGTGAAGTTGTTCGTGGTGGCAGATGGCATAGTGGCCAAGGCAGGGGACCTGAGCTGCCTTCTTGCTAAGGGATGTGCAGTCTTAGAGAATGAAGGAAGAAGAGGCTACTTTCAATGCATTCTTTTCCTTCATTTTAATGTCATGAATGAGTTTTCTAGACTTAATATAGATGAGAAGAGGGGGAAATTATTAATTTTTGGAAGTCTTGATTGTCTTTGCTTGAGTGGGCGCAGCGTGTGCACCTCTTTAAGGTGGGCCCCATGGGATGGTGGTTTTCTTGCCTAGGGATGGAGCACAGAATTTTATCCTTAATAAAGTGGACATTTTGGGCAAGGTGACTCATTGTTAAGGGGACTGTCCTGCCCACCCTGGGCCTCTACCCACCTAGGTGCCAATTGCACCCCCTCCCAGCTCTATCAACCAAAATATTTTCCAGATATTGGCACACATCAGGGGAGGTGATAAAATCCCTCCAGGTGAGAAACACTAGGTTGGGGGAACTGAATTCGATCCTGCTAATCAGTGCAATCCCAGTATTCTGTCCTTTGTATCGTTTCTGTTATATATGTTTTTATCAAAAAGTTTGTAGAGAAAAGTATTTACTTTTTATCTTCTCTTTTAGATTTCTACAATAAACACAGTCCTAAAAGTATCCAGTATGACCAGGTACAAGCCAGGCTACTCTGGATTTTCTTAAACCTAAGTGTGTATAACCAGATGAGATCCAGTCCTGGTGCTGGAAAACAGCGCCAGGATATGGACCACAAAGGCCTTGACAGTGCTTTTAGCCATTCGGGTTCCCCACCTTTCACATGGAGAGACTATTTCCATCCAGTTCTGCTCAGCTCTAAACTGTAGGAGATAGCTGATTCAGAAGATCTATTGTCTGTGCTTCCCTGAAAATCATTTGGCCAAAATACAGAATTTGCTCATGTCATTTCTTAGCAGTAAAGGATTAGGGGCAACTAAAAAGAAGTAAATGTTTGGTTGGCTATAATGGGATGCTGAAATAATGTTTTAGATTTTTTTTTTATAGTGATAACTCTTGGAAAATGGAAAAGGGGGAAAATGGGGGTGGGGGTGCACTTCCCCATCGTTTTTTTAACTTCCCGGTCTTTTGTACATGTTAATAATGGTCACTTTTGGGCCAGGGTTTAGGTCAGGGGTTCCAAAGCCTGCCTCCACAAGTGCAAGGTCCCAAGTTCGATCCCTGGTACCAAAAAAAACCACAAATAATGATCACTTTTTGCTGTTATAAGTAAAGATAAGAATATGAAGAATAAATTAGGGAGCTCCCACCAGCAATTTTTTGTTTGTTTGTTTGTTTGCTTTGTCAACCAAATTTAAATGATTTCTCTACCCTTTTTTGTTGTCTGGTTTTGAATACATGCATGGACACATCTCTCCATGTGTTTATGACATTTTCTTGGAGCATGGACAGGTGCCTCTGGCTGTCTGAATTAACTTGCAACCATCCTTTTGCTCCTCTGCATTGAAGTCTTGCCCTGTGTTGTATTGTGTCCCATGTTCCCTAGTATGGAAGACGAGAGAGTACACCATACTTTTGTGGTAACTAATTCGTTGTCATGCTTGTCCACTTCTTTGAAAAATGAGTTTAATACAGTGACCAGTCTCTGGTTTGTGTCACCATTTAGGGATTTGTCCTAGTCACCAGAAGTTTCCCAGCACTTCTAAGCAGGCAGTTAGTAGAGAGGGCAAGGTAGCCTGCATGTCCATGTGGGCACGTAGCTGGCTGATATTATAGATAAGGTGTGTTCTCTCTTTCGGGCGGCCCTAGTGTTCAGAAGCAGAGTATTCCTGTGTTGCTGAAAGGCAGAGATGCCCTCGTGCGGTCCCAGACCGGCTCAGGTCAGTCACTGTTTGGTCTCTGCCCTTCTTCCCATGACACAAGGCCTGCGCTCATGCTGGTAGGCTCTGAGGGTGGTGTCTGGCAGCGGTGTCTGTCTGTCTTGTTTCGAGGGAGTGGGCTGTGCTTGCTTCTGATTAGACTGTTGAACTTGTTCACGTAAAGGAAGGAAGGGATCGTGAACAGTACTATGGTCAGGAATGATGAATACATAGTTGACCTCTGCCATTACTTCCCCAAAACCCATTTTGTGGCTTTGCCACATCCCACCGTCCATGGCCGCAGCTGCCCATGCCCACTCTGGTAGGGACAACTGTTCTGGTACTAAAACAGTTCTGCCATGAGCACATACTGTGCTGTTGGATGCAGTCATGTTGTTGGAGACAGAGCCCTGTCTGGCTAGACTGCTCCCCTGGCCCTCTTGGGCCTGACTGTGCCCTCAGTCAGGGCAGCTGCTGTCTTCTCCTTCCATCCTAGCCACTGGAGGGGGTGGAGACACAGCTTCTGCCTTCCCATGGTTCCTCTGTCTCTAGGCACTAGCTGTGGGGTTCACACTAGCCATCCACACTACAGAGGACATGTCATGACCACCAGAACTCATGAGAGAAGTTAAGAGGGACTTCAGAGGAGGCATTTTCCAGCTTCTATACACAACCATTGAGCTTTTGTGCCATTTGGAAAATGTACCATCCCCTCAGTTGCTGGGTACATAAAGGAGCTAAAGCTTCATGGTTTTTAGAAGTACTGAATTTACAAAGCAAAATTAGGAGGTGGGGCAGAGGTGACATTCCTTTTTACCTCTCTTGGATGTAGCATATGCGTTTACCTTCTAGAATTTCATACTACCTAAGGAGAGCAGAGCGTCTTTCCCTTTTAACTGCTTTTGCACTCTCTTAAAAGGTAAAACTCTCGCCTATTGCATCCCTATGGTCCAGTCCCTTCAAGCAGTGAAGTCAAAAATACAGGTGAGTAAACACTGTCTTTGTGTTATTGTCAATGATGAATAGGTGGCCATCCAACCGAACCATGATGGTAATACTGGAACTGAAAGGATCTGTTTACACTTGGCATTGTTCTTTCACCTCCTTTTCATTCATTTATTACATAGCATGTTACGTGTAAATGTTGCTGAGAGTGGATGGAATAAGTACATTACACAGTCACCGTAGTCAGCACTGTATATGTGCTAGGAAATACATATAACATGCTTGCCACATGCCAGACATTGTGCTGACTGCTCTGGTATGTTGCCTTCTTGCCCCCACCAAGTTGTACTACTTGATGCCCATCTTACAAAGAGAAACACGCTCAGAAGAGTAAAATAACCATGGCCATGCAACAAGTTGTGGTAAAACTGGATTTCCACCTCCCTTTGTTTGGCTCCAGAGCCCATGCTCTGCCTGCCACCCCATGTTTTTATGGTGAGGTCCATGGCTGGCCCCTGTGCTGTTTAGGGGCCTTTTCTCTATGTCCTCCACAGTGCCCAGCATTGGGCCTCCTAAAGAATTATTGCTTGGGAAATGTCTCCAAATGATTTGATTTGCAGCTGTCCATTTATGCTTTTAGTTTGAGTCTCTGTTGTAAATCATGTGGAGTTAAATTTCAACCTCCTGTTTTAAGTTCCAATGTGTTACTTACTTTTGACCAGAAAGGCTGAAGTTTCTATGTAAAACAGTGGTTTATCAATAGTAGATGTAAAAATAAGCGCCTAGTTAGTAGAGTCGGTAGTTCGACTGCCACATACTTAACATTATTTAGAATTTATCTTTAGTTATGAAACATACTGAGTTAATGTCTGGGCCAAAAAAGCCAAAATAGGTTTCCAAGAAGGTCATTTAACTATTGTGACCATGGACGTAGGCCTCATCTCACACTGCAGCCAAGTCCATAGGTGCAGTCAGTTGAAAGGAAGCGGTAAGAGGAGAAGTAGGAAGTAGGGTGAGTGTACAAAGCAGAGGAGCTGATGGATGGCTGTTTCAGTTCGGACATGCAACAAGCCTACCTGATACACAAGTGACAAAATGAGTAATACTATTGCTTTATAGTCCCTAGACTAAAACATATATCCACAAGTCTACACTGTTACTGAGTAAATACATAATCAGAGAAGGAGAAACTCTTGTGGCAGAATTCCAGTAAATGAATGCAGAAGTGATGGACATAGAAAAGCACCATTTGGTAAATGCCTCAGTAATTCTGTTTCAGGCCTGGATCCTCACTGTCCAATCTAACATGAGCAGATAACTGTGAGGGGAAGTAGGGTTTTACATAGTCTCCAAGTAGTGCCACACACAGTACCTCTTAATGAAGTCAGTGACTTTACAGCACAGCCAAGATGTGTCACCTCTAGTACCTCCTGAGAAGGGCACATCACTTCTGTGGTGTTCTTGCCAACAACACATAACCTGAATTTAATTGCAAGGAAGCACTAGACAAACTGAAATTGAGGGACAAAATAACTGGCCAGTATTCTTCGGAAGTGTGATGGTTGTAACTGAAGAACTACCCCAGCTTGAAAGGTTGGTCCTGGATTGGATTGTAATAGTAATATGGGACAGTTACAGGTCAACTGATAAAATCTGATTAAGGCTTTTAGAGTAATAGGATCAAATCCATGTTAATTTCCTGGTTTTGGTAACTGTACTATGGCTTTGGTGATTGATAACATGGAGAAACTGGGAGAAAGCTATATGAGAATCCCTTGTACTATTTGTGCAATGTTTTGTAAGTCTGAAGCTATTTAAAAATTGGGTTAAAACATTTGAGCTAAAAATTAGGTTAAAACATTTTTTAAATCAGCTAAAATAGAAACTCTACAAGTCATCCAAATGATACAACCCTATGTAGCCATTGAAAGCGACATTTCTTTAAATTACTGTTAGTGAACTTGAGCGTGTGTTCTTGCCATACTCATTGAAGAAAGACAAGTTCCAAAACAATATGTGTTCTGTAACTCCAGTTTCATACATGGTAACCTGCATGTTTATATAGATAATAAACCAGAAGGACACTTAGAAAATTGTTAGTACTGGTTTTCTCTGTGGTGGAAAAGCGAGGAATTTTGTTTCCTAAAGGTGACTGATTTTTTTCTCCTTATTAAGCAATTTACAGTGAGGTCATTCATGCACAGTGTCAGTCCCTGACACAGTTAGAGAAGAGGAAATGTAAATTATTACACCTGTGTAGTGAAGTCTCCTCTGCTTATGTACTCGGGAGAACTTGTTGCAGTAAAGGACATTTTCTTCAGACCAGGGTGGAGAGTTGGGTAGTTTTGGGCTGGAATGAGTCCTGCAGGTTCTAGCCCAACTCTATCTTTCACAGATCGGCAGCTGAGGACCGGAGATCAGATGACGCACACTGTGTGCAGTTTGCTGGGCACCTTTGCTCAAACTGGGGTCTGAGTGTAATTTTCTTTCTTTGTGCTGGGGATTGAATGCGGGGCCTCGTGCATGCTAAGCACGTGCTCTGGTGCCACCCTCCGTCCCAGCCCCGAGGGGGCCGGGAGCAGTTTGTTTCTTCCCTCTCTGCCGTGGAGTTGTCCCTGTGGGTGAGGACATGAGCAGTGCCTGTCTCCTGGGGCCAAGACGGAGTTGGGGAGCTGTGCCTGTGACTCCCTGAGACCTGTTATCTACACGACCTTCCAGCGCCGTTAATAACAAACCGTGCAGCGTTTCATTTGCTCAGATGTTTTTCAACATCACTAGCATATCATTCTCCTAGACTGAAATACTCTATAGAAGCAGTTTTCCAAGCCCCAATTTAATTCACTTATTTCAAGTCATGTGCAGTACGGTCCCTTGGAGTTCATTGCGAAGTGATCTCACCTGCAAAAACTTCTCTGGAGACAGCAGCAAATCCAAAAGCCACCTGGCAGACTCTCAGACTACCTTGGTGATGAGATGAGAGGGGATGATTCTGTGTTCACACCCGTTGGGTTACTTTGGCTGTGATTTTTTCACATCGCATCCATCGCACTTCCCTCACTCATGCCCTGAGAGGAATTGATTTCTCTTTCTTCTTCTCTGTGTAGTAACACCTTTTGAAATGTCAGAATCTTCTAACGTCACACTGTGGCACGGTAATCCTGTTGTACTGGCATGTTTACTGTTCCCAGCCCGGGCTCCAGTGTTGTCTCAGAAAGTTGGTGTTAGGTACGGACTACTCCAGTTTGAATTCTAAATCCTGTCTCCTTGTGGGTAAATGTTTCCCATGCAGAACATGAAGGTCGTACTTGTAATTGAATTTGCTGCTAAACATGCCTTAGTCTTCACACTAAAATTGTTTTGGTTCAACATCTGAGCACTTTTTATGTCTTGCACCATTGACGTAGGGCCTTCATCAGATTGCTTTGGTTTCTTTTAATAGTGTCATCATCATCATCATCATCATCATCATCATTTAGATGTAATGTACCTAAAAAGTTTTTAAAATTCAGAACACCAAGAATATTGAGTGAAAAGTAAGTCACCCTGCACCCCCTTCCCCTCGGAAGGGCACAATAAAGGGGAAAGTGTACTTCTCAAGACACAGTGATTGTTGCTACCAGCCTCTGGTGTCTCCTCCCAGGGATATTCTTTGCATGTCAAATAAATAGGAGTCTACATGCTTCCTGTGAAGTCTTGTTTGTTTTTCTTTTTGGTTTGGTACTCAGGTGCATGATACTCTGTGTCTTCATTTGTATTCCTTTATTTTTAGGGGTAGTTTTTCATCAGTACTACATAGAGCTGCCTTATTCTTTTTAGAGGCTGCCTACTATTCCATTATGGGTATATACCATAAATTACTGAGTCATTCCCTCGAAGATTGGTAGGATTTATTTTATGTCCAGCATTTTGCTACAGATGAGGGTACTAGGATGAGGCCTCCTCTATGGGCGCAGCATTGGGCCATCCCAAAATATTCCCCCGTGGCAGAAGATGTTGTAAGGGGGATGAAACGCAATCTCTTTTTTCCTGTGATTGGTTCTGAGCCATTTCAGAAGCATCCCATTAGCTGGGAATGGCCACCCAGTGGCCCAAAAGCCACCTCCATTATGGGAGCAGGGTTGTGCCAGGCCAGAATCCTGCCCCGTGGCAGGAAATGTGGTAAGGTACAGAGAACGCCACAGTCCATAAAATACAGTTCCTTTATGCACACATGCGTACTTGTAGGAAAAATTTCTTTAAATAGAATTTGTGTTTTTATTTTGATATCTAATGCCAGAGTTGATCCTTTTTTGAGATGTGACCTCTCTATATTGCCCAGGCTGGCCTCAAACTCATGATCCTCCTGCCTCAGCTCCTGAGTAGCTGAGATTACAGTCATGCCCACCCCAGCCAGCTCGGGTTTGCTCTTGGAGTCCTTTCACCAGAGTGCACTCTCCCCAGCAGTGCACAGGAGCCCCCCACCCCACCCTCAGCTGTTTGACCTTTGCTCATTTGATGGGAAAACCACTTGTAACTTGAATTTGAGTTCCTTTTAAGAGTAAAGTTGACATCATTTCATATGTGTAATAGCCATAGTTTACATTTTAATTTTCATAAATTAGCTGTTTATGACTTTTCTCTTTTCCTCTGTTTGAGTTGCTGACTCTTTAAATTACATAATCTCTTTATAAGTTAAGGAAATTGGCATTTTGCTCTTAGGTGTGGCATATTTTTCCGCTTTATTGTCATTTGAAGCTTGAGTTTTTTTATGGGCATGTTTTTCTATTCTGAAATTTCAAATTTTAGGTACTAAAATATATCAGTGTTTTATGGTATCCGAGCTTGTTTTGTTTTTTGGTATCTGAGTTTTATATCATCTAAAAAGGCCAACTAATTCCAGCTTTTTTTTCCTGAAAGAACTTCTGAGTAATTGACCTTTTCTCTATTGATACACAGTAAAATCACTCTTGTATTTTTTTCCCCGTAGATTTTTTTTTTTTTTTTTTAATGGTACAGAGGATTGAAACCAGGGCCTTCTCAATGAGCTATATCCTCAGCCCTCTAGTATTTTTTGAGACATGGTCTTGCTAAATTACCCAGGCTAAACACAACAAGGAACCAACATGGAGAACCATTGAGGCACATTCACTGGTTAGCATTATAAAAAGGAAAAGAAGTACTACTTCCTCTAGGAATAAATAGCAGTGATTGATATTCTAAATGGGAAATTCCTTGTATGTGACTTGCCTTCCCATTGGCTCCCCCAATTAATCAATGTTACCTGGGTGACTATGCTTGTAATCTTACTGCTTGGTCATGGTTTTGCCCCACCTCATGCCCACCTTGTAAGTTTTCATTGGGTCTTACAGTTTTGTCCCACTTTGTACATGTCTCACCACGTGACTTTGCTGTGTAAAACATCTTTGAAAAGTGGGGTGGGGGGCAACCCACTTTCTGGTCCTCCTTCTGTATCTCTTAGAAGCTATCTTTCTCTCAATAAATTTTTCCTGCTCTTAAAAAATAAATAAAGGACCAGGGATTTAGCTCAGTGGTTCCGCCGCCTGCCTTGCAAGCGCAAGGACCCAAGTTCGATCCCTGGTACCAAAAAAACCAAAACAATAAATAAATAAATAAATAAATAAATAAATAAATAACCCAGGCTATACTCAAACTTTTGATCCTCCTGCTCAGCCTACTAGAATGCTGGGATTACAGGTGTGTGCCACCACACCCGGCTTCTGTTATGTCTTTCATTCTGTTCTAGACACTACTAGATGTTACAATCTCTGTGAACCAGTTTTTTGGGGTTTTGTGTGGTTGTTTGTTTGTGTTTGGTTTTTTGAGATAAGGTCCTGCTTTATAATTCAGGCTAACCTTGAACTCACTGTGTACCCTAGGTTGGCCTTGAATTTGCAGCAATCCTCCTGCCTCAGCCTCCCAAGTGCTGGGGTTGCAGGTGTTCCCCACCATCCCTGGCTCACCAGTATTTTTTTAAACTGCTATAGCTTTAAATTAACATCTGATAGGTTTTTCATAAATGTGTAGTTATTTTTGCATTTATTTTTCCTACATGGTTCCTTTGAAACAGTCTTTCTGGTTGTGTATATTGTGCATATGCACGTGTGCACACACTTCTCTGGTGTTGTTAGAATTGCATTGCATTTATAGATTTATTTAGGGGAGAATTAACTTAGATTATTGGATCTTCCTATCCAAGAATCAGTTACATCTTTCAACTTACTCAAATTGTATTTTATGCCTCTCAGAGGTGTTTTAAATTTTTCTTCAGATAGACTTTGTACATTTTTTATTCTTACACTTTTTTGTCTTTCTTGCTGCCATTGTAAGTGTGAAATTTTTCCTTCCATTGTATTTTCTAACTTTCTATATTGGAGACATTGATTTTTATACATTAATTTTGCATTCAATACTTGACTGAAGCACCTGATTTATAGTAATTTTTCAGTTGATTTGCAAAGGTTTTTTTATTTTCTAAAGTAAAATGACATAGTCTCCTAACGATGGCAACTGCCTCTTTCCTGTCCATGGGTCGTGTTTGTCTGTCTGATTACACTGGGCCAGGACTGCTGGAGTGATGTCCCATGATGCTGGGGCGGTGCACGGGTTCGTGACTGGCCGCCCTCAGCTAGTCAGTCTGGATCTGGGGTCTCGGCCCTACTCACAGCATCTCGTTCTCTGTTGACAGCGAAGTGATGGCCCCTATGCTCTGGTGCTGGTGCCCACAAGAGAGGTAAGAGGCTGGGTGTGGTGTGAGTCGGAAGTGCAGGCTTCCATAATGTCTTGGGGACACAAAGCGACTTGGCCATCGTCCCCCACTGCCACAGGACTACACACTTCTTTCCTGGCTATGGGAACTGTCCTCTGGTTCCTATTAAGGAGAAACATTCAAATATTTCTGGAAATCGTATGTATGGTATCTAAAAGCTAATAATATTATTAAATCTGTGTCCCTTTAAAAGGAGTTAAAAGAATCACCTTTTTTAGTTTTTTTTTCTTTAAAACTTAATTCAAAAATAGAAACAGCTCTAAAAGCAAACTTTTTTTGAAAGCCACTGCTAGTAAAGCTGTCACTTATTCCTGGAAGTGAGCCTTGTCAGTAGTGTTGGTCTTCTCTTGGTGAGGTCTCTTCCATCTGGTCTGTGTTATTTGCCTTCGGGACAGCTTAGGGTCAGGGTCAGGGTCAGGGCCAGGGTGTCCAGTCCATTCTCTGTGTCAGTGCAGTTTCAGGTCAGCCCTTAGGCATTCTGTGGTACCCATCTCTGCTCAGTGCAGCAAAGGAACCGCCTGCTCCAAATTTTATAGCAGAGTTGCTCTTTCCCGAGGATGCTTCCGGAATCTGAACATGTAGAAACCGTGTACGTAATGTCCTTGGATAAGGAGTCAGTAGAGACTTTTTAATGGTGGTGAATAGTCATAAGCCATGTTAATTTTCACTTTCTCCGGTTTCCACCATAGTTGCTGCTTTGGTTTTGTTTCTGTAAACTTGAGAATGACCACCTGCCAGTCTTTAGACACCCTGGCGTAATCTTATGCCCTAAGACACAGCAAATCACCCTAAGCAAAATCCCCGAAGGCAAGCCTGCTGCGTAACTGCTCTAGTGCACCCTTCATTCTCTTTCTAATGAAAGCCAAATTCAAACACTAGATTTGAACTTCTGTATGTGACACTCTGGGAATTTGAGCCAGCAGAGGGAGCACAAAACATTATTTTTGTACATGTCTAAGAAATGGATGTGATGTCTTTACCTTCATTTCCCAAACTGATAGGTTATACAGCCAGTCTAAGAAAGAGGTGTATTTCTGGAGTAGATTCTGTGTGTAGGTTTTTTTTTTTCCTTAAGCTTTACTTGAGGTCCAGGTTTGGATCCTAATGAGTTAAATGACCTTTAGCAAAAGGGGGGGGACCATATTCGTAGTCTAACTTTTTAATATTTTCAGCTGGCTCTACAAAGCTTTGACACTGTCCAGAAACTGCTTAAGGTAAGACAAGGCATGAGTTCATTTTTATCTTTTTCTGACATTTTGAGGAAAGATTAATACACAAGTATTTATTTTCAAAAAAAGAGGACTTATTATTACTTCCCTCTTTCCTGGATATGTCTGCTTTCTGTAGGTATAGTTTGCAGGCTTTTACTGATCTAAACCTCAGTGACTATTGATTTTAGCTTAGCTAATTACCAGTGTTTCCCACAGCTTAAAGTCCTATAATCTATTCATCATAGTCACCAGCTAGCAGCGTACAGAGATAAACAGGCAGCACCCTCGGGTGAGCCAGTGGAACGCAAGAAAAAGCTGCAAGTAGGGTTTGTTCAAGAGAGAAAAGAGAGAAGGTTTTAGAGTCAGATCCTGCCACCCCACCAAACTAGATCACGAATTGATCTGTCCTTTATCAGGGGTAGGGAGTTAGGAGAGCTGTTGTTTGGATTTTGTCTTAACCCTCCTCCCAAAGGCAGTAGAGTTACTGGGCTTTGTTCTCTAGTCAGGTTCCATGGGGAAGGGTAGGGGAGCTACTTGACTCAGTTTAAGACACTTATGCTGGTTTGTCCTACATTATTGGAAGCTGTAATCACAGTTAGTGGCCGTAATTGCAGTTATTGCTGATACTAACCCTGGGTGTGGCAGTCCCCACGAACTGTTGTGCACAGTAACACTAACACACAGGTGGGACCTGCATCGTTCCTCTTGCCTGACTTGTGTGAGGTCTAGTGATTTAGGCAAGGGCGCTTTACACTGATGTTGGTCTGTTGTCTTTCCATAGCCATTCACCTGGATTGTGCCTGGAGTGTTGATGGGCGGAGAGAAGAGAAAATCAGAAAAAGCCAGGTATGAGGAGGTTTGCTGTTGGTCATTCTTTTTGGAATCTGACTGTGTCTCCTGATCCCTGGACTTTGGGGCAGGAGGAGGGGTGGTCACCCCTAGACAGCTGTTTTTGAAATAATGACAAACCTACGAACAGGTTCCCCTGATGTGGTTAGTGATGGTTCTGTTACCTTCCTCATGGCTGTCCACCAGGCACCCACAGCCCTCCTTGTTTACAACACCCCACTTGGTTGAGGCTCTCTGTACATTGGGAGCTTGTGGTTTTGTTGATTGGCTTATTAAAAAAAGATCACAAGCCTATATAAGACTCAGCAATTTGTTTTTGCCACCCAGATTCATTCATTCCTACATCTGTGTTAGAACTTGTTATGTTGTCTATAGAAAATTGTTGCAACAGGTAAATCCCAAACTGTCTGTGCCCCCCACCCCGCCCCCATACCAGTGATCGAACTCAGGAATTTGGGCTTGCCAGGCAGGTTCAGTGCCACTGAACTAAATCGCCGGCCCTGCAGTCTTTTTAAAACATTTAGTAGTAGCGCAGGGCCTTGAGTTTGATCCCCGGTACCAAAAAAAAGCAGAAAAAACCCCAAATGTTTAGTAGTTATACCCAACTCTGCATGTAGCCTGTAACTGAAGAGTCAGTATAAAATTTGACACCTGAAAGTATTGGTTAGGATAAATAATAACAGTGAAAATAGCAGTGGCACAAGCAGTGCAGAAGTTTTTTTTTTTTTCTTTCGCATTCAAGAAGTCTGAGCACTATGGTACACACCTGTAATCCCTACATGGAGGGGGACCAAGGAATGTCACGAGTTTGAATTCCACTGGGCAACTTAGACTGACTCAAAATAAAAATGGCTGGCTGGATATGGAGCTCATTTTGAAGGCCTGGTTTCAGTCCTCAGTATCACAAAAGAGAAAGGAAAAAAAAGTGTGATGGAACCAGACTGGGGCTGGCTTGGCCTTTCAGTGTCAGGACCCTGGCTCCTTCTTTTTGTGGCCCTGTGGGAGGTTTTCATTTTCAGGGTTGCCTTAGTCTTGGATAATTGTTGGAGCTCCAGCCATTACTTAGAGTTTCTTGCCAGCAAGAACAAAGATGGTCATAGCGCCTTCCTCCAATGACACTTGTGTGATTTGCCCATTCCCTTTGTCCTTTTATCTCTTTGCTAACACATAAGCACATGGTTTTTCTTTACTGAAAGGAAAATTAGAAAATAGAGCCAGCTAATGATTATGTCTGCCACCATAGAATAATGGGATAATGGTTGTTTGGGGAGTAAGAAATTAGACTTATTCTACATGCTCTGTGGGGCAGTTAGGCCCATTTTATGGATTTTAGCTCAAGAGTTCGTTATAAGAAACAAGCATTCTATGGGCCGGGGATTTAGCTCAGTGGTTTCGCCACCTGCTGCGCAAGTGCAAGGACCCGAGTTCGATCCCTGGTACCAAAAAAAAAAAAAAAAAGGCAAGAAACAAGCATTCTAGTAGTTAGAGCTCATTGGTACCGAAAAGCTCATTTGGTTAGGGTGTTCCCTGGCGCAGGAGCCTTCAGGGACCAACCAGAGGACCATCCACATGTCTGGAGTGTCCTAAAGGGTCTGCTATCAGACAGGGAGTGTTGGGTGATGTGGCTAAGACACCTTCCAGAGTAAAGGCTCTATGACTTTGCTGTAGTTTCAGACCAGAACAGGCGCACTCTGTAGATTCGGGTGACTCAGGAGCTCCTTTTATCCCTTGTCACCGTCTGGTACCACATGTGCAGGAAGTGCATCTGTGTCCTCCGCCCCTTTCACGTGTTTTCTGTTGCTACAGCCCTGTGTGATTTATTTTCTCTTACCATTCATAATTTTAAACAGACTTCGCAAAGGAATAAATATCCTCATCTCAACTCCTGGCCGGCTGGTGGATCATATAAAGTCCACAAAGAACATTCATTTTAGCCGCATTCAGTGGCTGGTTTTGGATGAGGCAGACAGGTGAGCCTTATCCGGGAAGCAGGAAAGGTGGGAAGAGAGGGCTGTTTCTCCCATCTCCGTGGCAACTTCTGTAGCCCTTAGCATCATGCTTCCTCTCCACGTAGTTCCCAATTCTTCTCTTACAATCACAGAATCTTGGATTTGGGTTTTGAAAAGGATATCACTGTGATCCTCAATGCTATAAATACCCAGTGCCACAAGCGGCAAAACGTCTTGCTGTCAGCCACACTCACAGAAGGTAAGTGATGGAGGAGTGACTGGGAGGACCCAGGTGGAGCCAAGCTGTTTGCCAGGGGGCGAGGGGGTGGCCCCAGAGGACTGTTCTTCCCACTCTATCCTGCATCCCCAGCTGCCCTCATCCAGTCACCCAAGGCTGCTGTGTTCCCCAGACCTAGGAAAGGGAGGAAAGGCAGGTCCCAGAGCCAGTGTCATCTCACTCGAGGAGCAGGGGGAGAGACAAGGCGGGCTGCCACTGGCCAAGTGGTTTCATGAGGTTTTGTTTTTTTGTGGGTTTTTGTGTGTGTGTGTGCCTGGGATCAAACTTGGGTCCTTGAACTTGCAAGGCAGGCAGCGGAACCACTGAGCTAAATCCCCAGCCCTCATGAGATTTTTGTTGGAGTTGCAACCAGAGAGAGAAGGACTCTTGCTCTTCTCCAAGTGTAATCATCTACCTTTCACCTAGCTAAAAATACCTATTCCTTAGCTCCTTTCTTCAGGAGATAAATTCTTACTCTTTTATGGATGGGAAAACTAAGGCTTGGAAGAATATTGTACCACTTTAGCAGGCCCACCCTGTAAACTGAGCCCTTATACACCCAACAAAAGCACCTTCATGGGTTTGTGTCTGGTTGGCCTGTTTGCTAGGCCACATTGTGGTAATGCACATGCCAGATGCCATTTGTGCGACCCATTGACACTCCTCAAAGTATATTCTAAGGAGGAGCTTAGAGAGATGGCCAATGAAAAGGGGAATGTCTCACACCCTCACCTCCTCTTGGAGATTCATGGTGCACAGTGCCTCAGTAAAGAGAAGGCCTGTAGCAAAGAAGCCTAGAAAATAATCTAAGATTTTTGAAGCTGACTTGACCAGAGAATCCTTTCGAGCATGGGGGTGCCACAGGCTTGCTACCCCTTCAGATGTCTGTCCGCGGGTGCAAGTTTAGAGCATGTGCTGGCATGAATGGATTATTAGGCTGTGTTCTGCCCCAGCAAAGTGGCAGGAGGGCATCAGTGCTGGGCCATTCTTAATAAACCTGGATTGACACTGTGAGGGCACGCAGATATGACCACTTTCCTCTGTCCTTTTTGCTTTTTATCCAAGGCGTGACACGACTAGCGGATATCAGTTTACATAATCCAGTCAGCATTTCTGTCTTGGACAAAAGCCACGACCAATCTACCCCAAAGGGCAGAGCAGGCCAGGGAGTTGCTCCTCCACAGACCAGCGACAGGCTGGACAGCTTTGCAATACCGGAGAGTCTCGAGCAGCATGTGACACTGGTCCCCAGCAAACTGCGGCTTGTCTGCCTAGCAGCCTTTATCCTGCAGAAGTGCAAGGTAGGACTGTGGCCTGCCCCTGGCTGGCCCAGGGAAGAAACACCTATTTGGTTTGTGTCCGGCATCAATAGCAGCAGTAGAGGCACCGTAAAAAATAAAACAATTTTCTAACTCAGTTCTGAGGTCACAGATGTAGACCTTAACATATAACCTTTCAGTCAGGGACTGCAGGATTCTGGTAAAAGAATCTGAGGTCAGTGATAATTGTAATGTTCCTCATGAAAGTGGCCTTAAATATCTTTCCTGGGACCAACATTAGGGACATTGGGTAGCAGAAACATGCAGGGTATGAGGCAGTCGTAGGCGCTTGTGCTTATGTTTCTTAAAGAACCCTAGTGTCTGGGTGCTCATCTACCAGGTTTTTTTGTTTTGTTTTTTGGTACCAGGAATTGAACTCGCGTCCTTGCGCTTGTGAGGCAGGCGGCGGAACCTGCTGAGCTAAATCCCCGGCCCTCATCTACCAGTGTCATGTGGTAGCTTCTCTGGGCTGTGGGAAGACAGTAGCAGGCTGTGGGGCTGTGGGCTGGAGCATCCAGATGTACTGCACTTGTAAGGTCAGGGCCGGGCAGCCTTGCACGCACCAGGCCTTGAGCAGAGGAAGGGGGGAGCTGCGCCATGAATTCGGTTTCCCATTTGAGGGTAAAGCTCTGTCATTTTCCTTTCCTCTCTTCTTTCTAGAGCAGAATATCAATGTCACTTTAAAAAAATAATTCAGAACTCTGTCACCAGATAAGGGCCAGCCTAAACACATCCTATAGAGCAGTATTCACTTTAGTGTCTCCTGAGCTTAGAAGTGTGTGCTTATTTTCCCCTCATCCTACAGTTTGAGAAGGACCAGAAGATGATTGTCTTTTTCTCCAGCTGCGAGCTGGTGGAGTTCCACTACAACCTCTTCCTCCAGACCCTGTCGAGCAGCGAGGGCCCCCCTACATTGAGACAGGCGCCATCTGCCTCCACGAGATTAAAATTCCTGCGGCTGCATGGCAACATGGAGCAGGAGGTAAGCCCCCCACCCCACCCTGAGTCCCCGGGAACTGACTCATCCTCACCCCTCAGCAATACAAGGGAAGCTCCCACGGGAAGTCGGTGAGCCGCTGGTGCTGAAGGGGATCACACTGCCAGGGGTGTGGGAGGATGTGGGCAAGGAGGGCCTTTGTTCTGCACTCTTGCTCCGGCCAGCCTCTTCCACCTGAGAGCGCTCACAGACCCTTGGCCTGTGCCTACTTCAGCCAGCTGTTCCGGCAACAGAGTACCACTAAGTAGCTGGCACCAGGGAAGGGTTTTGCCTTTTTAGTACCCAGTGTGTAATTAGGGCTTGATGTCTTCAAATTAAGAGCATTAATGGAGCTAAATTGTGGATCCCATATGGTACTGCTGAGTGCGGCTGCTGTCATTGTCAACAAGACACAGCGCTGCACTTTGAACACTTCAGGTTGGGAGCGGGTGCCGCACACCAAAGGGCTTTGGGCCCCCATCCTTTCTCTCAGAGTAAGATTCAGACTACGCCCTTTCCCTGGTTTTAGAGCTTTTTGTTCCGCTGCTGTTAGCTAGGCCATCCGTTTAGGGAGTCAGGGTAGAGTGAGGGGGAGAGGTATACTCGGTGGAGCTGGGAAGGGAAGCATGGGTGGGTGTGGAGCCGTCTTGTCCTCAAGGAGAGGTCACCAGGGCAGCTTCAGAACTTACAGAGTGGACAAAGCCAGAAATCAGTAAGATAGGCCAGATCCACCTTACAAAATCATGACATTGCTAAAGCGTCAAGGGACATTAAAGTTCTAACGTGACCGTAGACGTGTCCAGCCTGCCTTTTGTTTTGCCTTTTGTTACAGTTAAGGAAATGTGACCTTGCTCAGAAAAGTCACTCATGGACGCAGCTTATTTACCCCTCATTATATTGAAGTCCGAAATATCCAAGCCTTGGTGAAATGTTAGAAACTGTTGGTTTTTGCCTTTGGCTCCCTGATTTAATTGAGCATGTTGGTTTCACTCTTTAATACCATTCATGGTTTGGATTTTGTTTTAAACTTTTTCATGCTCTGGGTCAGTATTCACCAGAGACATTCTGCAGGGTAAGTCTGAGGGCAGCATGTGGACTTAAGAGATCATACAAGGCCAGGGATTTAGCTCAGTGGTGCTGCTGCCTGCCTCGAAAACACAAGGTCCCGAGTTTGATCCCCAGGACCAAAAAAAAAAGGGAATCATACAAAAGATTCCCTGATTGAGTGATTTCAGCCTGCACATCCACATCGTCATAGGGTGGGAGCCTGGCGTGGTGTTTACAGCTGTGCCCCTGGCTATAGACTTCTTGTGTTCTAGGCCTGGCTCTGTCATTTGCTGGCTCTGACCCCAGATAAGTATTTACCTTTTCTGTGTCTCTAAAGTGGGGATAATAGTAGTATTTACTTCATAGAATGATGTTGATTCATTGAGTTAATGCCAATAAAACTTTTAGACTAAAGAAATACTTCACCTGCTAGAAGAATAAATAGGTAACTCTTGAAGTCATAGGTGTGTGTAAGCGAGGACTTTCTGAACAGAACCCCAGTTGCACAGAAGAGAGTACCAAGAATCAACAAATGGGGTCGTGTCAAGTTTGAAAGCTTCTCTACAGCAAAAGAACCAGTGAGTGAAGAGTCAACCTACAGAATGGGAAAACATGTGTCAGCTATTCCTCAGACAGAGGACTAACATGTAGAACATATAAAGAATTCAAAACATGAGACCCTCAAAGTAAAAGACCCAGTCAGAAAATGGGAACTGAAATGAATACACACTTCTGAGAAGTTACAGATGCCAATAAATACATGAAGGAATGGCCATCAAAGAAATACAAATAAAAGCATCACTAGGATTCCATCTTACCCCAGAAAGGATGGCTTTCGTCGGTAAATCAAGTAACAACAAATGCTGGCAAGGCTGCAGGGGGATGGGGGAACACTTTTTTTCATTGTTGAGGGGAATGTAGATTATACAACCACTATGGAAGCCACTGTGGAGAGTCCTCAAAAAAGTACAATTAGAGGGCCAGGGATTTAGCTTAGTGGTTCCACTACCTGTCTCGAAAGCACAAGGTCCTGAGTTCGATCCCCGGTACCACAAAAACCAAACAAACTACAATTAAAATTCCATTTGACCCAGCTATTTCCCTTCTAGGTGTTTTACTCCCAGAAGTGAAAGGCATCATATTACAGTGATCCATGTGTGCCCATGTTTATAGTGCACAATTCATAATGGTTAAATCTTGGGAGTGGCCTATACACTCATCAACAGGTAAATGGATGAAGAAAATGTGGTATTTATGTACAATGGAGCGCTACTCTGGCATAAAGAAGGATAGACTTGAGTCCTTTGTAGGAAAATGGATACATTTGAGACCATAATGTTCAGTGGAATCAGATACACAAAATATTGCATAGTTTCCTTTATATGAGAAACCCAAAATATAAAGAACTGGCAAAGCGAAAGACAGCTAGTAGAAAGTAAGGAGGTCTTTTTCAGATGGGAGGGGCACAAAAAAATAATTTCACTGTTCTGTCCATACACCCACTCCCCACGAGGACCCTAAGCATTGGGCACTATAAACATGGGCTCAAAGGTGAAGCTCTTAGTACTGGGCCTGCCAACGTAGTACTCAGTAAACAGCAAATGCTGTTATTGTTGCTGTTGTGTCTTTTTCAGGAATAATTTAGCTTTTGTTTTTTTTTTTGAGACAGGGTCTCACTATGTAGCCCAGGCAGGCCTTGAACTTGCAGCAGTCCTCCTCCCTCACCTTGCTGAGTGCTGGGATTTCAGGCATGCACCACTGTGCCTAAGTTAGCTATTTTTGTAGCTTAAAAATTACTAACATTTTATTCTTGTTTTGTTCATACGTAGCCTGCACAGCATCCCTGTGAGCCAGGAGGAGACCTGAGTGGTGTTCTTGCCTCTTCTTTTGTAAGGGTCAGGCCTGTGTCTCATTCTGGACTAAGCTGAAACAGTCCTGGGCATGCCTCCCTGGCCGTCGCCCTGGTCACTGCCCCAAGACCTTGAGTGTAGGATTGGCATGATCCCAGACGAGCTCTTGAGCACTAGAGAGAGGTTACTGTTGGAAGGAGATCCTAGGCAGTGGTTTTTCCCCACCCCAACTCTACATACATTATGTCCTGTCTTCAAGTCATATCACAAGCCTTTAGGAAAATTTCTGATTTTGATTGAATAATGTAGCCAATAAAAAGCGCACCTTTGTTGCTAAGGATTGCAGCAAAGTGGACAGTGCATCTGGCCCGGAATGCAGCTCCCTGGGCCTGAGGATCAGGGTGGCCCTTCTCTCATGTGTATCTCTTGGGCCAGTTTCATGACCTCTCTGTACCTCTCTTCACGCTTTTCCTTCTCAAGGGCCTGCATATCACAGGTCTGTCTTTACAAGGGTTAGGTAAGTGTGGCCATGAGAGATGCTCAGACTGGGGTCCAGACTGAGGCAGGTGCTTGGTAAATGCCAGCTATTGCTGCATCTCCACGCAGTGCTCTGAGTGAGGCACCCTGGCATCCAGACATGCATCGAAGTGTGTGGAAGTGAAAGGCCAGAATCACATCCTTGCAGTGGTTCGGCAGCTGTACCAAAGCGAAAGGGGAGACTGCTTTTTTTCTTTTTTCCAAATTTTTAGTAATTTGGTTCTGTTTCTTTTTATTTGTTGCTATAGGCAAATGTAGTCACATCCCAAGCACTTGGAGCACTGTGATGCAACCACACTCAGAGGGTAGCCTTGCGAGTTGGTGCTGAGAGTCCTAAGATGTGCTCACCTCTCTGTCCAGCGGACCTATTTTAGGAATGTAACCCAAGGGGATGATCAGAATGTGCATGGCAGCCTGTCTACAAAGCACTAATTGTGATGGCGAGAGACTGAAGATGGCTTAGTTGCCAGTACTAGGATTTTGGTCACATCCATGGTGGTGTAGCCCTTCAGCAGAACCAGTTCACTGTGTGAGATGCCGTGGTCTTTGAATATTTATGACCTGAACAGATGATCAGATTTGATGGGGGCATAAGAGCATCTTACTCTAATATAAATAGTGGAATGCCATTTTTTTAAAAATGATTGGCTTCGTGCCGGGCATGTTGGTGCATGCCTGTGATCCCAGCACTTGGGAGGCTGAGGCAGGAGGATCACCATGAGTTTAACCAGCCTGGGCTACATAGTGAGTTCAAGGCCAGCCTGCAATACAAATAAGAGCCTGTCTCAAAAAAAAAAACTTATCAGCTTTGCACAGTAGCAGTATTATAGCCAGCAAGGTTTATCCCAGGTGCGATTATTGCTAATTGGAAACTTAAAGCCACATTTATTTATTTATTTTTTGGTACCAGGGATCGAACTCAGGTCCTTGTGCTTGCAAGGCAGGTGGCGAAACCCCTGAGCTAAATCCCCAGCCCAAACCCACATATTTAGTTGTGTTGTGCATAAAAAGGGGACTTCGGTAACATTAAAGTATTGCTGGTGGTGGGGTTTGCACCTAGTAGAGGGGTGATTTTATTTTTTCCTTCAACTTAAATACAACTTTTCTACAATTAAGATACATAGTTTAGTAAATTTAAAAAATTTTTTTAAGTATTTAAAAAATTGCCCTCTAGGGAGGGTTCGTCTTCTCTCTAGAGCACTTCCAGGAGAATGTGCTAGGAGGAATCTTGTGGGACCCCACACGTGTGACACGTGGCCTTTGTCTTCCCTGCTCTGGTCCTTGTCCTTAGGTGGGTGGTGCCCACCCTGGCAGTGGCTCTCGGAAACATGCTGCCCGCAAAGTGCTCCTGTTGTGCCACAGTCGGCAGAGGTGAAGTCTTGTTAATGCAGGGTCTCCGCAGGCATTTGGGCTGCTGCTTTCCTGGGGAGCCTCTCTGTGCCTGAAAATAGAGCCGTAGGAAATTGGGGAGGTTAAGGAAATCTAAGCCAACTTGCTAGGATTTACCCTGGCGCCTGTAAGGTTCTTTTTTCCTTGTTTTGTAGGAAAGAACGGCAGTGTTTCAGGAATTCTCCTGTTCCAGAGCAGGTGTCCTTCTCTGCACGGTATGTGTCTCTGCTCCAAGGGAGCGTGCACTCCGGTGACGGGGCCTGTCCTGTGTCTGGCCCCCGGGGGAGGGGCTCTAGGGCCTCTGCGCTCTGCTGATTGTGCCACAGATAGCCGGCCGCCACCGTGCAGAAGACTTGGCGATTTGCTCACTAATGGTGGCAGCTGTTAGTCTGAAAATGTGTGAATCTTGGCGATTTCTAGCCACCAAAACTTGTAAATTACAGCTATCGGGAGTAATTAGAGCTGAGAAAGTCTTTCTGCAGCAAAATGACTCTGCTTGCCTCTGCTCACCCTCTTAAAGGAAAATAGATGCACACAGACAGATTTTGTTTGTTGTTGTCAAAAATGTCATTTGCCCTAGAATTTCCAGAAGTAGTTCATGCGACCTCGGTCTGTGCAGTCCCACGCTGCCTCCCACAGTGCAGCGCTGACCTTTTTAATGCACATCTCTTTTGCTCTTTCGAGATTGAAAACTACACCTTCCATATTCTCTCCTCTCTGGGGAGTCCCTTTACCATAGCTGTTGCTCTCTCCCAAGATTAAAATACCTTCTCCACTTCTGCGATCTTGGGTGACATAACCTGACCCCTCCAGGGGTTATTGGAGAAGTCCCAGTATGCACAGTAATGAAATTCCACTGTAAATTTAGTAAATTCAGTGAACAGATGCTGGGTAGAAACAAAGAACTTTAGCTATATGAATGCCTCATTTAATGCAGTTACTTTTTTAGGAACTCCATACTGTTCAGTTTTAAAGGTAATAGAAACTTTTCTTTCTAAATTAAGAGTTTGTAGGTGAGTGCGGCCGTGTGTGTTTGTGTGTGTGTGTGTGTGTGTGTGTGTGTGTGTGTGTGTGTGTGTGTATACTCATCTATGGGAGGGCCTGCCTGGAAACCTGCTCATCATAGGGCCTGTTCTCACACACGTGACAGAGTGGTTCCATTGACACTGGTTATTCAGACCTAAGACCGGTTTCAGCTGGAATTCTTGTCTCCTGAAGAAACACAGGTCTGACCAAGTAGCACGTCCCTTGACGAAGCCAGCCTGCAAGTCAGATGGTTATTTTAAATGTCTAAAGACTGAGTCCAGTTCTCCTTGGTAGGAAACTTGTCAGTAACCCATAGTGTGTCAGCACCAACACTGTTCAGAGGCCTTCCCTCTCTCCCCACTGTCCCTTGCTCTCCACCCTTTAGCCCAACACAACCCTCTTTCAGCTGCTTGAATGTGTCATTCCAGCCTTGGGCTTTGATAACAGCTGTGCCTTCTGCCTGGAACAGCCTCCAGTGCCAACTTTGACCAACCCCCACTCAGATCACAGCTCAAATTTCAGTTCAGAGAATGAAGCCTGGGTTTCTCTTAGTAATGGTTATCACCCCTGGTCTAGGCGTTGTCCCACTAGATCGTAAGCTCCATGAAGACAGGGACCATGATGTGTTCTCAGTTCCATCCCAGTGTCTTTTTTTTTTGGTACCGGGGATCGAACTCAGGACGTTGTGCTTGTGAGGCAGGCGCCGGAACCACTGACCTAAATCCCCGGCCCCATCCCAGTGTCTTAACACACACTAGGCACTTGGTATTTGTGGTTGATTTGAGTGGGTAGCTGGGACCCCAGAATCTCAAGGTCAAGAGCAATTTGATGTATGCATTTTTTCTAAAAACTGGGAAAAGTGGAATTTAATATACTTGCTCATTGGGAATAGGTTTACTTTTTTCATCCATATGGTATTATTACATGAAGAATAAAGTTACAGATTGTCTACATTGAAACAAAGCAGTAGGAATTTTTGTGTTGAAATTTAGGTTAGGATAGTAACAAAATGTTTTCTTTTTGACCATTAAGATCCTAGATTTATCCCTGGGAAATTACTGTTTCTGGTATGTGAAAGTTGCCGTGGTTTGCAGCATGTAAAGGCTGTGATACATCTCAAGGAAAACTAGGTATATGTGATGTTCAGTGTTTCGTTGTTTCTTACATAGGTCTGCATGGAAGAGAAGATCATTCTTTCTACAGTATAATTCACAGTGGGATCCAAGGCATATGACCACTTTCCTTGTTCTGTCTGATGCACACAGGCTGTGATGTCAGCTAGACAAAGAGTGCCATTGTCCTACCACTGCACAGTGTCCCCAGCTCCCTGTCCACCCCAGAGACAGGTGCAAAGCAAACTCCTTTGCCCACCATCGGATTTCCCTGAATTACTCTGGTGAAGGCCCTTGGCCTGTCCACGTCAGTCCAGTGCACAGATTTCCACCATAGTGTCACATTCTCTTCCCTCTGCTGTTTGTGGGAGGAGACATGGGTGGGGCTGGCTCCTGCCTGCCTAAGCCAGGGTACAGGCCCAGTTCCCAGTGACAAGAGATTCTTTGCTCACTCACAGAAGTGCTGCTACTTCTGCCATAGTTGTTTACTTTAGCTTGACACGTCTGATGTCAGCCACAGGGTGTGCAAGGTATGTGCACTGTGATTGATGATGGGAGAGACACTGTCACTTTGCGTCCTCTGCAGCAGCCTGTTGCTTGCCAGGCTATCTGAGCACTCTCGAGAGTCTCCTTGGTGGTCATGAGGAACGAGAGCTGTGTCAGGGCAAGGCAGATGGAGAACTGGCTTATTTTGATAAAGGGGGTTCATATTGTTAATTGTTGTGTGGGGATTTTCCCCTCTATACCATCCATACCTTTGCCATTTTAATTTATCATCCTAAGATCCTCCTACAAGGCCAGAGGAGGCTGAGTATGAAAATTTGGAAGCTGTTCTATAACTACAGGAAATAGAGTAGCACAGTATCCTTTACTGTTTGAAAATCGCCTCCCCGACTCTGCTTTCCTTCCATGGAGGAGCAGCTAAGGGTGCGTGTGAGTGTGTGTTTATACTGATTATAAGCATCTTAAAAGCAAGAACCTTTGTAGTTTCATCCTGGGACTAGACACACAGCTCTGTAGAGTGACTGTTCAGTGGTGTGGGTACGTCTTGAGATGGCGCTTAGGGCAGTCAGGGCAGGAGGCCCTTTTTCAAAAGATGAATCTCCACACATTGGCGGTGACTTTGTGTCCTCTGGAAGATTAGATCCACAGGAAAGCCAGGTTAAGAGGAAGTAGGAACAAGTAGGAAGAAGTAATTTGAAAGTTTGAGACATATTTTTCCATATGGGATTAAGAAATCAAATGAAGCAGATATGAGACATTGGATTATCTACAAATTTGTATTTCCCCTGCTTATAGTGAGAGGCGTACCCTAAGCTAAAGGAAGGGAACATGGTCTACTGTTATGCCATTGTTACTTTGATGCACTGATAAAAATACCACTGAGTGGCAAGGAAATGGAATTTCCAAGTCACCCCTGGTATTAAGTAAGGCCAAACTAGGCTTTATCTTGGTGCATTTGCGCTCCTTGGTTGTTTGGGAACAAATTGAATACAGTGACCATCTCCCCAGGAAGGAGAGGCCTCCAGCTCCTCCAGTTTCTGCTGACCGAGCATCCCTTGGAATGAGTGGGTCGTGGTTGTGCAATATGTGCGTCTCTTTTTCAGGAGATACACATTCATCCCTGCTCTGCGCGCTCGCGCTCTCTCTCTCTCTCTCTCTCTCTCTCTGCTTGAAACAGTGTTACATCTGTGCAGTTCTTCATTTCTCCTCCTCCTGGGGAATTTCCACTGTGCCAGGCAGCCAGGAAACAAAGGAGCTAAGGCTCTGAGAGTCACTAGAATGTCAGCCCAGCACTCCACACAAACGTAGCCTTCTCACTTTCCTCTGGGGTGTGCTTTTCAGGTAAAGTTCATCTTTCCCATTTTATTTCATTGGTGTTAATGGAAGACATTTGGAGATTGTTTGCTGTTTACTCAGTTACGCTAACTCATGTTGCCAGTTTTTTGGCGGCTCCAGCCAAGATCTCTCGACTCTGACAGCTTCTGTACTCTCCCCTTCCTCCTCTGATTACTCAGCCCAATCTGTCACCAGGACAACAGGGGCCTGTACCCTGCTGATGGCTTTCCACACACGGCAATAATGACTCTTGGCAGGCCGGGAAGGCGTCAGAGGCGAGTTTGCCGCGTCCCTTCTCAGAGAGATGGCAGCCCCCTCTCCCTGTTAGTAAAAGCACTTTGTGAGGTTCTTGGGTAAATAAATGAGTCATTTTAATCCAACTGACAGGCTGGCACCTGAGCAAGCTGCCTTCCATCTGTACTCCTGGGTCTCATGGAGGCAGCCAGTTGTCAAGCCCAGGGCCTTCAAGGCCTTGCTGGGGAGTGTCTTTCACAACTGACTTTAGTGATTCTTTTGCCCTAATTAGGTTAAAGGAGTAGAACTGGGCTGCTACAACATGTACGTTCAAGGACTGGGCGGAGAACTCTGAAGCCTTTGTGAGTCTTCAGCAGGCCCCACTCCTGTTGATCAGGTGCAGCTAGCTGGGGCTCCTCTGGGGTCCTTTTCCCAGGGGTCTTGGGGAGGCGGGGCAAAAGGGAAGGGACACTTAAATCGCCACCATAACCAAATGAGAGGAACACTCAGACTTCAGCTTTTCTGGCATTTTCAACATACACAGTCTCGTCTGCTCTTCACAGCAACCTCATGATGCGATGGGCAGTTTTGCAGCCCTTGTGCAGGCGGGTCACCAGGAGCTCAGAGCTGGCTGGATTGCCCGGACTGAGGCCAGGGTCTCCATCTGCCCTGTTCCTTCAGCACTGCTCCCTCCCTCCCTAGTAGCCGAGACTGGGAAAGATGGAAGTATTTTCCCTAAGCAGTGGCTGGATTTAGTCTGGGCAAGAGAAAATGAGGGGGAGGCACCACCTGGCTGTCAGGGAGGCTGCACCCCAGCTGAGAAGAGGGGAGACCGGAGGACATGGTCTCAGCCAGGCATCTAGGGCTGGGCCCCCCAAGTGGGAGGAAGGGCCTTGCAGAGTCACGTGAGGCTGCTGGTGTCCCTCATTACTCACTGTGCCTGCATGTTTGGACTTAGTGAGTTTCACAAATGTCATGCTGTTTTAAAAGTTTTATCTGTTTCCTGGTTGAATTTACTAAACCGACGAGCATTAAATTTTTTACAAAGCCTGTCTGTAAAGCTCAGGCAGCCCATTGTCTACATAGATCCCCCACTTCAGAGCGCTTAAATAAAATAAATCATTTCTCAACAAGAACTCAGCAGATTTAAGGACCCATCAGTTTTCCTAAAGACATCGACTGTGGTTAGTGTAGAAAGCTAGTTTCGTCCCCCTTGGATGGAGAATGCTCTCAATTGTGCTCTCAGAACCCTGAGCTGGAGCCCCATGGGGCTGTCTGAGCCACTTCACGGGTGGCTCACCCTGGCTCCCGCTCATGTGCGTACAAGGGCAGCCCAGTGGTCCCTGGTTCCTCTAAATGAGTGGTGTCAGGACAGCATCTGCTTAGTTCCGCCTTTGCCCCTGTGGGTGCAGGGCGGGTACTTCTTTACCAAAACTTGGCCTAAGATTATTTTTCAGAAAAGCTCTGTACGCACAAATCCTTTAGGGTTACTTTAAGCAGTGGTGGGAGAGCTGCACTGTACAGAGGAATTTCTCAGCTCTGGAGTGGAAGGAAGGGACAGTAAACTTAGTCATCCTGTACAGCCATCAGGGTAACCATTGGTACACACCAGAGGCAAGGGCAGAAGCCAGGCCCTGTAGCGAGACATGTTAGGGATATTTGTGGGTTTCAGTTTCATCTCCCTGGTCTCTTATCTTGTAAAGAAGAAAGGCACCTTCCCTGTGGAAGCTAGTGGGCGCCCCTCTTGGTGGTGATGGAGCCTGGCGTCACCCCTCGGGGCAAGCCGTCGGCCTGCAGCTGTGGCATGCACCCCAGCCTGAGGTTGCGATCCTGCCAGGATGCCTAGCCCAAACCTTCCCGTCAGGATGCAGACAGACAAATCCAGAGTATGAGTACTTCCTCCAGACTCCTGGACTCTTCAAAAATGACGGTCTTTGTAAAACTAAGGAAGTCATTAAGAGGCAGGCGGGGTGCTAGTCTGGATTCAGGAAATCTAAAAAGTTACACAGTAGAGCATGCTTTCTGTGATTCACACCTGGATTGAGAAACAAAAATAACTATAAAAGACATCCCAGGTCAGTTGGAGAAAATTTAATATGGACTCTTAATGAGAAAATAATGATCTTCAATATTAAATTTTATGTGTGTGGGCAAGGCCTTCACACTGAGCTACATCCCTAGCCAGCCCTGTTTATTTTTTGAGACAAGGTCTCACTAAGTGAATCTTTGTACCTCAGCCTCCCGGAGCACTGGGAGTATAACCATGCACCACCATGCCTGCCTAATATAAGTTTCTTAAGTGTGATGGTGGTCTAGTCACTTTTTTAGAATAATATCCTTGTGCTTAGAAGATAGTTGCTAAAGTATTCAGAGCTCAGATGTCATGATATTTGCACCCTACTGGAGATAGGAAAACGTGGGAGGGAGGATTACTTAGTTTAGAGGGGAGAGGAGAAACCAGATGTGCTGAAGATTAGCAGTTGATAAATCTAGTTGAAGATTGGCCTGTGCTCACTGCACTCATCTGTCAATCACTTATGTGAATTTTTGTAAATCAAAAACTTGAGGGAAAATATATATATTCACTGTTAAAAAGCAAACAAGAAAGCACAAAGAGAAAAGTGGAAATCACCTTAAGCCCGCCTGTCCAGAAGTAACCACTGGTGAGGACTGTTGAGCCTTCTTTGGGGAACTTGTTCTACCTACCCATTGATTGTTGAGTTGATCGACTGACCAGTCAGTTGATTAGTGACGTGTCTAATTTTTTTTTCCTTGAAATTTTTGGCTGAAAAAAGTAGGACCGTTTGTTCTCTTTAGAATATGCCAGCCAGTCATGGCGGCACACACCTTTAATCCAAGCTACTCAGGAGACTGAGGCAGGAGGGGTGCAAGTTCTAGGCCAGCCTGCTGGGCAGCTTAGTAAGACACTACCTGAACGTAAAATAAAAAGAGCTGGGGTGTAGCTGAATGGCAGAGAACTTGCTCAGCATGCGCAGCATTCAGTGGCTTTCTTGTTCTGTTTTGGTTTTTGGCAAGAAGGCCTCATGGGTAGTATTCTGTGTTTGCTGTCAAATGGTAGCTCATCATCTTGAGCCAAGTGTGAAGCGCACTAAAGGCAGTCTGGCTCCTGTCCTTGTCCCTGTGCCCTGTCTCCTTCCTTCCCCTACAGGTAACTTTCTGTAAGCTTTGCTTGGGACTTTTTCTGCTGTGGCTTCTTACACATAGCATACCATACACACTCAGAGCAAGTCCCAGAGAGTCTCCGAGTCAGAACAGAAATCCCGGTCCCATTCATAGCCACGGGGTTCTCTGGCGTATGGAGCACAGCCCTGCTCACTGTTCACCTGTTGCCTACCCTGCAGCGCTGGCTGCATAACCTCTTGAACACATCATTCGGCAGCTCTCCCTCCCATTGTCTTTGTTAATGGCGAGATGGCTCTGGATTGAAGGGGAGATGCAGAGCTGATTTTGCTGGATAGCACCAAGTCCCCGCCACAGGAGTTTGTGCACTCTCCATTCACACCAGCAATGTACGGGGAGAAGCATCTCTTTTGTTTTTGTTTTTGTTTTTTCTTTATTTGTGTTTTTTTTTTAAGTTTTATCACTGCATCTCTTTTGATGATGGCAGGCGATGTAGTCTGTTCTGGCCTGGATTTGCGGTTACTGCTGTTTCTTAGCTGTGTGTCCCTACACAGCTTCCTTGGCCTCTGAACGTTGGTTTCCTCCTCTGTCAAATGGAGGTTGATAAGTCATGATGCAGGTAAAATGTTAAACACAGCATCTGGTGTGAAGTAAGGCCTCAGGAAATAGCAACTGGGGATAGTCTTATGACTGTCACGCAAAAGTTGAGTTCTGAGTACAAATTATTGCCAAGGGTAGGAGATCCCATTTTCTAGTCACTCTGCCAGACCAGGTTAAAAGGGAGAAGAAGTCTCCATTGCTGGTAGCTTTTCAGCTAAGTCTTTGAAGTGGTTAGCAGGTTTGGCTGCATCCTCATCTGCAATCCAAAGTGGGGGCGGCAGATCACTTGGGCCTCCGTGCTCTCAGCCTCCAGGCCAGGCCTCAGTCACCTCCGAGTCCGTGCCAGAAACCTACCCCACCCTTGGCTTGGTTCACTGACCTTGCTGGCAGGTAAGGAAAGCTTGGGGTGATAATCCATGGATGCAGTTGTCATGGTGGCTTTTCAGACACAGTGCAAGTGAGTAAAACATAATTCTCGGACCGGGGATTTAGCTCAATGGTTCTGCTGCCTGCCTCGCAAGCGCAAGGTCCCCAGTTCAATCCTCGGTACTAAAAAAAAAAACAAAACATAATTCTCAGCTCCTACCTGAATCACTGGCAGTTGCAGTGTAAGTCCTTGTGCTGACCTGCTGGTTGTATTCTTGAGGGACCTGGGTTGTTAAAGGGTTCTGTCCTACTTGCCCCAGATCAGAATTTTTAACCATAATTGCACTTTCTTGGCTCCTCGAGCTGCCTGAAGTTGAATGCAGAATTGAGGATGTCTGTGTGTGTACGCATTGTGGGTTTGTGGCCCTCAGAGTTGTATTAGATGGTTAGAGTTCACACACGCAGCCCTGACCATATTCTTTTTTGTTTTGAAGGATGTTGCAGCTCGGGGCTTAGATCTCCCACAAGTCACGTGGATTGTTCAGGTAATTTTTTAGTTGTTAAGGTAGGAGCTTGAGGCAGGAGTATATGATCATGAGCAGACCATTGGCTTTAAGTAGCATAATTATTACACTCTTGGGTGTTGCCCTGGTAACCAGGCAACAATCAGCCTTATCTGCACTATTCTCCTGACATCTTTTCTTAACCCAGCCCACCCACCAGCGACAGAAAACAGCCAGGATGTGCACTCACAGGTGGGAGCGAGGGAGGTGTCAGGCTCTCCTGCTCCCAGAGCAATTCGTGTCACAGACCAAAGTTTCGACAGTCTGAAAATGACAGGAATTGTCCGGGCCCCTGGGAGGCCTCGTTGTGTCCAGAGGAGATGGCTCGGCTGTCCTGAGAGCCGTGTCTGGGAACATTGACCTGCAGGGAGCGATTACGCTCCTGACAGCATCTTACACATACCTCTAGCCTTAGACACGTTGCTAGAGGGTAGAGGTGTTAGCCCTCGAGTCTAGAGGGTTTCGTTTTGCTTTTTCTTTTCGTTAGTCTGCAGAATGGTATTTTTAAGCCATGTGGGGGCCAGAGGACACGTATCCTGTTTACAGGAGTCATGTTTATTCACATTTAGTGCAATTGCATGCCTGTCTCTGGCTAGGGAATCCGATCTGCTTGTCACAGACGATCGCTTTAGGACGAGACATTGTGTCTTCTTTTCTGCTGGCGCAGAGGAATGAATGGGAGATGAGAAGGCAAGGCTAATTTCAATGTGCTGTAGGCTGGGCACAGAAATGATTATGGAGGGCTTGTGCTGGGACTATTGATTAGGGAACATGCCTGGCTTCCTGTACAGTATATTCACCTTGGCCCACTGATCTTTGATTCTTGTGGCAGTGAAGAAAAAAAGACCTAATACATGGTCGTTTGATGATGACGTTACTGTCAGAGATAACATAGAATGCTGTGTCTAGTCCACTGGGCTGAGCTGGGGTCTGCCTTTCTCCTTGCATCTCCACCTGCAGAGAGCCAGCCTTGGCACCATCCTGCGTCCCTTCTTGGGACTGGGTAGAGCTGCACGGAGTGGTAGGGCCTTCCCTGTGGGCCCAGCAGCAGAGGTGATTGCCAGCACAGTAGTCGGCCCCTTCATCCTTCCACTGCCCTCTGTTACCTCGCCCCTGCTGCTCTGTCTACCAAGGAAATAGGCCAAGGTCATGTGGTCATCTCAAAGAGCTGCCCTGCCTGCCTACATTTTCACCTTGCAGTCACCTCGGTGAAAAGATGTAAATAGAAAATGAGAGACCTGTGGAGAAGTAAAATTAAAAAGGAGATATTGAGATGAGATGATGTCACATTTATCTGAAACTTGGCCACCATTCACATCTGCATGTCAGCCTTATTATTTCAGTGAAGCCAGGAGTTTCAGGGTTGAGTGACTTCTTGTGATTGTTTTAGAGTAACCATAGCACCAGGGTCTAATTCTTGGGATACCTGGAGGCAGGTGAGGGGTATTGCACTTCCAATTAATGACAATCCCTTGATCTTGAATGCCTTCATTTTTGTTACCCTTTTTAGTACAATGCTCCGTCTTCACCTGCAGAATACATCCACCGGATTGGAAGAACCGCCCGGATTGGCTGCCATGGGAGCAGCCTGCTCATTTTGGCTCCTTCGGAAGCAGAATATGTCAACTCGTTGGCTTCTCACAAAATCAAGTGAGTCAGAAACCTGAATGGGGTTTCGGCTGATCTCACCTAATTAACTTTCTGTCGCTTTTTATAGTGGCTGGGCCTTGTAAGCTGCTGAAGAACCATTAACCCTTGTGATCCCTAAATGAGTCTCAGAATAGCCAGTGGCAAAAACTAAAACCCTTAATGCCATCAGCACCTGACAGTTTTCATTGCATTGCCAGACTTAAGTCATAGGACGATCTGTTGCACTTCATTTTCCTTTGCGATTGAGGTCTAGGATTCATTTTTCTTACTCTGAAGTGAGAATGCACGACCCTTATACCCAGCTTCTCAGAAGCTCTTTTTATTCACAATTTTTATTTCTTATACTTAAACATCTTGTAACTTCAAAGTTGCTTTGTCTTTTTAAAAAATAAGGTTTTTTACACATTCCCCAAGTCCCTTTCCCCAGGAAAATAGACCCAGGGGGAAGATTTCAAGCATTTGAGATAGTGCCCTGCCTACACATCCACAGCCAAGACTTTGCAGCCACCCTCTCGTGTTGGCACTGTCGCCAGGCAGGGCTTGCAGAGTCCAGCCCCAGCCGGCAAGCTCCACGGGAGTGACAGGGAAATGATTCGCCTGCGCCTCAGAGCTGGGTTTGTTGTATTTTCCATGAAATCTCTGGCACCTAAAGTAGCAGGTTCTCATAATGGGATGGGATTCTAAAGGCGTACAGCTTTTTGAAACATCTACTTGAAAGGATTTCTTCTGCTCCGACATAGCACAGTGATGGATAAAAGCATTTCTGGAAGAGCCACGTGTCTGCCTGGGGCAGGGGGACTGACACAAGCCACGCCCAGCAGCACTCTTAACTGCTTAGGTCCTGCTAAGAGCCTGCACCGTGCTAAGTGTGGGGGTCTCACTTCTTGGTTTTTTTCCTGCCCTCCCCTCAGTTTTATCTAAAACATCTAATAAGACTACAAAGTTCCTCAACCCCCTGAAGTACAGAGCTGGAAAAATCACTGTCCTATCTGCAAACTGAAATGTCCAGGCAGACATGACATGGGGCCTGGGTTAGGGGCCAGCAGGACTGACCACAGGCTATTCGCCATTGTGTGTGGGTGTCCCCAGTCATCAGTGCTACAGCCTGTTTCCCAGCCTGCAGAGCCCCCTCTCAGGCTGTGAGGCATCTCAGACTGTCCAGGGTCTCAGGGTGGGCATTCAGGGTGGAGGCTATTTACACAGTACACCTGCTTCCTTTGGCATGGAGGGAGGCAGGAACCTGCAGCTAGTGATAGTTGCGATGGCCCAAAATATAGTTTGGATTTTCCTTTTATTTAACCCATACCTTAATACAGTCTGTCCATTGAAGGAGTGGTATTTGTTTCAGGATGATGTACATATTTTCTCTTATTTATGAGGGAAATCTCATGTGTCTATCAGTCAGTCAGTATCTCCACCCAGAGTTGCCACTCCCAGGAGTCCTCATCCCCAAGGGTGGAGATGCCAGCCACTCCTCTTTGCCACCCTTTCAGCAGGGCTTGCACCTCCCAGGCAGGGGAGCAGGGGAAGTCCTCAGTTAGTGGAAACAAAAGCCCTTGACAGCAGGGTGTTTTTCCCCTCCGCCCTCCCACAGGCTGGGAGCATCCCAGTGCTGTCACAGGAGGTGTACTGCATGGAAGGTGTTCTCGGACTGTGGTGGGCCCACAGTAGCTTCAGCACTGCCCCTTAGTGGCCTGGGCTCTCTCCGTGCTTCTTTCCCCCCTCTGCCAGCTTAGACCCGTAGGGTACTCTCCTTACCCATCACTGTGACATGCTCCCCTCCTCAGGAAGCACGGGGCTGCTGTTAGAGGTCAGATGAAGATTATCTGGCACCAGCGCCAGCGGGGTGGTTGCCACTGTCGCTCTGTGGCCCTGACTTTTCTTTTTTTTTTTTTTGGTCCCAGGGATCGAACTCGGGACCTCGCACTTTTGAGGCAGGTGGTGGCACCCCTGAGCTAAATCCCTAGCGGCCCTGACTTTTCTTTAATAAATACACTCAAGTGAGTCGCTGTCAAGGGTTCAGGTATGAAGCTAAAACTGAAAAAGGAAAACAATGATTATCACAGACAGGAATTAGTAGTGAGCCAGCTAGATCTGTTTTAAAGACACACCAAGTGCAGGTAGCCTCTGTAGTGATCTTGTCTGTAAAAACACTGCCAGCCAGCGTGACTGCCACACTCAACATGCATGCAAAGGGACATGCTCGGCAACCCGGGGCTGTACCCTTGGTGAGGACACCGAGAAGAGTGTCCATGGGTAAGTGCCAGACAGAGGAGAACTGGGTCTTTTGGGGAGAGTATGCAGGGCCGGCAGACCTTCGGTGAGGAGTGGAAGGTCCTGTGAGCCCCGTGCTGCTGTCTTCCAGCACCCACCTGCTGCAAGGCCAGGCCCTGTCCTGCCTTGTGGCAGATGGAATCGACCACCTGGGTTACTACAGGTACAGCCGTGAATTGCACTTGCTGATTTCTGCTTGAGGAAAGGCTGTGACTCTGGGCTGTCAGTGTGTAGACTGTTTCCTTGGCTTAACACAAAACCAAATCAAATCCATAAGAACTAGTTGCGGGCTGCAGTGGGCAGAAACACACTGGAACACTTGGGATCCAAATGGTGCACTGTGAATATTAAGAGAAGGAGGCAAAGGGGAGAGGTGTGTGTGCCTGAGAACACAAGAGCCAGGCAGCAGGATGCTGGCTGCTGATGAATTGCAGGGAAGATTTGGGAAGGCAGGCAGAGGCTCTCGGCGGCAAGGGCACCATCGTGCCTGCCTTTGTGTGTGGTCTCTGTGGGGCTCCCTCCACAACTCATTTAGCACCCCGGGACGCTGCCCCCCCTCCTTCCCCGGCTAAGCAGTCTTAGAACTTTGCTTCTGCATCCTTTTTTTTTTTTGGTACCAGGAGTCGAACTTGGGTCCTTGCACTTGCGCAGCAGGCGGCGAAACCACTAATCTAAATCCCTATCCTAGAATTTTGCTTCTGCATCATTTTGACATCTTTGTATTTGCCAGTTCCTTAACTTTTTTAAGTCCCCTTTAAATGCATTGCTAATGAAAGTCATGATTGGTTCATTAAAATGTAAATGCCTCATCAGAGCATTTATTTCTTAGATCAGGCATGAGACAGTTCCCTGCATTTATTTCTTTTTCTATCTCTTTTCCTAGAAAGGAGGGGTGATTCAGATCTGTTGATAGGACCATAAATAATCACCGTAGGTTTGCTTTGTTCCTCAGAAGCAGTGATTCCTCAGAAATAGGAGGAAGGCCCTTTGAAACTGTAAATCACTCCAGTTCATGCTGCCCTGGTTCTCGTCAGGCGTGTGGGCCCCGGTGTGGCAGGAGGGCATGCAGTGTCCAAGCTCTTCTCGGCTGGGGCAGCAGCGCGCTGTGCGTGTGGGACACTGCGCCCTTCTGTGGCCTGTTTAGTTTTTTGTATCCCTGGCTGTGAATGGCATCATTCTTTTTTTCAATGCTTCAGAATTTCACTTCAAGTCCTTATATTTCTTTTCCACATGAATTTTCCCTCTTTCTGTTTTTCTCAAGAGAAAAGGTGATGAACAGAAGCAGATGAGATAGAGAAAAAGATAGGACCAGGCTGTGTTTTCCCCGTCAGGTTCCCAGATCCTCTGTCCCTCTGTCCCTCTGTCGGTGGAACATGTCCCCGTGGGATGGGAGGTGAGCTTGCCCTGACACCTACCCATCAGGCCCCTCTCCCTTGGCAATTGACTCTTTGGGCTGAGAGAAGGCTGTGCTCCTCCACGGGGCTGGGAGGTGGCAGCAGAGGATGCTGCCGGTGGGGCGGGAACAGGGAGATGACGGCTCAGGTAAGTGGCTGTCACACATGGCATTTTCATTCACAGCCTTGTCACAGTAACCTTTGGGGAAAGGGGGAGAATTGTCTTTTCCCACATGAGAGGTTGCCACTCATGTTTTAATTTGCTGTTATATTTCAAAGAAAAAAAAATACAACAAAATCATTTGTCTTTTTATGATGTGTTTTTCTCCCGGAAGCATCGTTTCCGCAGCTCACATTTCCTTCCGTCCCTAATGCGGGTCTGTGGCTGTTCTGTGCTGTGGCCTCGCAGTCATTATTGCACTGTTTGTTTCCCAGGCACCCTGAGGAGGCAGGGCCCACTCTTTTGTTCTGGCTTCTCATGGCTTCCCCTCCTGAGGAAAGCCCAAGTTCTTCTTTCCTCGATGTACACATAGTTCCAGATTTATTGGCGATCACCCCTAAACCATCAAGAGATAAGAGTAATGAAAATTCTCCAGGGTAGAAGAAAAGGCCAGAGGCGCTGTGAATAGGGGCTGGGTCACTTCACTGAGGTGTTTGCCGCCACAGCTGAGGATCTGTGGCCACCTTTCTTAAGTATAAAACTAAACAGACTATCTGAAATGTTTAGCATCGGCTCAAGTCAAGGTAGTGTTTGAGATCTACTTGTTTAGGACTCAAGATTTATTAAGAGATAGTGACGTGCTGGGTGTTGTGGCACATGTCTGTGGTCCGTGGGGGGGCTGAGGCAGAAGGATTGCAGGTTCAAGCCCAGCCTAGGCAAGTTAGGGAGGCCCTGCCTCAAAGCAAAGGCCTAGAGATGTAGCTCAGTGCGAACACTCTAGATTCAATTCCCAGCACCACAAGGAAGGAAGGAAGGGAGGGAGGGAGGGAAGACATGATCCCTATAAAGGAAAATCTAAGTCTAACCTATTTTAAATTCATCGGAGAAGGAAACTGTCAGGACTGTTGCCTGATGTATTCCTGAAATATCATAGAGATCCCTTGTATGTCTAATTAGCTTGAGAATGGGCCTGTTTTATGCATCAAGATTTTGGGTATTTTTGAAGCGTAAAGTTTATTTTAATATGCTCTTCCTTTCGCAGTGTTTCTGAGATGAAGATGGAAGATATTTTGTCCATTCTGACAATAGATGATTGTTTTAAAGTGAGGCGAAGAGAAAACCAGGCAAGTTTTATTTTTGTATTGTGCTTGTTGCTGATAGCAGTGACTCATATTTCTTGATCTGGGATACCAGAATTTTGCATGTGAGTGAGTTAATTTTTGTCAAGCAGAATGTTTAAGGACTGAACATTAGGTGAGCCCAGACCTGGAATATGTTTTTGCTTTGCTTTGCCTTGGGATGTGTTTGTTGGTCTCGTCCAGTTAATGGGCTTCGTTCCATTCTGGGAGTTTGCCTGCCTGCAGCAGCCTCCCCAGAAGGGGGTCTGGGCCAGTACATGCAGCCCTGGGGGTCTCCCCATATCACGCGTGATGTACTGCCTGGACTCATCCATGCAAGACAGCAGGGGAAAAATACCCGTGTCCTTCAGACCCACTTCATTCATCCATCTTTCACTGTGGGCATGCTGTCTGCAGAGGAAGAGTGAAGTTGAGATCGTTAATCGGAAACATTTTTATTATCCATGCAGCGCCACATGAGGTGCCGAGTGTTGCACACAGCCCCGAGTACCTTCGCCGCTGCTCTTCCAGCCCACACTCGTGCCAGGCAGTCATCTCCCACCCACTCCAACCCATTACTTGGTGTGCCACACACGTGTGCATGTGTGCAGTGCTGTTGTGTGTAATGGTGTCTATCCAGTACTAACCACTTGGATCTTTGACTTTGTTTTCTGGTGCCTGAGGATATAGTGGGGAATCAGAGCCAAGCAGGTCAAGCTTGGGAGTTTCTTCTATGCTTTAGTGTGTGCCTTTGTTTGGATCAATATTCTCCCTGAGGCGGGACCTAGATTTGACCTAAGTTCTGTTCTTCCTGAGAGTAGCTAAGGAAATGGATCTGGCCAAGGGAAGGAAGCAGTCCTAACACCTCTTGCCTGAGGGACCCAGGCCTATGCTCAGCTGTTTCTTTACATGATCCCACTTAGTCTGGGCAACTTGAGAAGGCAGGCACTGCCCCTGTATATAGGTGAGGAAGCTGAGACAGGCAGAGGAGCTTCCCCATAGTCTTCCTTCTGGATTCCAAGTCAGGCTGTGTGGGTTCAGAGTATGTGCACTTCACTGTACATCCATGAGCCTCTGCTACAATGAACTCAGCCAAGGACACGAAACTGAATTGCTTTTCCCCTCTGTGCTGGGCATTGAACCCAGGGCATCCATCACTTGTGCTAAGCAAGCACTCAGTCACTGAGCTATACCACAGCTCCTAAATTGCTTTTTTTTTTTGGTACTGGGGATCGAACTCAGGACCTTGCATTTGCAAGACAGGCACCGTGGCACTAAGCTAAATCCCCAGCCCTAAATTGCTTTTTAAATGAGGTGTTAGCCATTTTCATGGAAGTGAGATTTGGCCTGTAAATGGTACCACAACAAAGATCCACAAAAAGCTAATTAAAGACTCCATTGAACCTGGGCATGGGATTACATGCCTGTAACCCCAGCTATCTGGGAGACTAAAGCAGGAGGGTCTCAAGTTTGAGGCCAGCCTGGACAACTTGGTAAGACCTTGTCTCATAGTGAAAAATAAAAAGGGCTGGGGATTCAGCTCAGTATACTCTTTTTCCCAGCAAGCCTGAGCACCTGGGTTCCATCCCTAGTACTACAACAGCCACCAAAAAAAGACTCAATTGATCAAGTCATTGTACATGGCCTTTCACGTACAAGATCCCAGCCACACTAGATTTTCCACCATCCCTTATTGTCAAGGGACTTGGCTGGTCACCAAATGGAGGGATGGTCATTGGTCTTGGCACGCTTCTGTCCTTCTAGAACTTTTCCGAATTCTAGTTTCGGGAGTGTGTGTGTGAACATCCTTGTCACACTTCACTGTGGCTCTGCATCAGAGGGACCTCAAGGACTGGGCCTGAGATCAGGTTCCTCATTGTTATTACTGTGAGCCTTTGGGCAAATCCCGGGCCTTCCTAATAAGCTGCGGTCTCCTTGTGTGGATAATTGAGGTGGTGATAGTGCTCTTGTAGGAAACAGGAGGGTTGTGTGGGACATGGTCCTAAAGCTCCAAGTACGTTATAACACACAGCACCAAGTGATCTGTACTATTACTATTGTCATCGTCGTCACGAGTTAGTAGCAGATGTGGAACCAAAGCCTGGGCTCAGTGACACAAGTCCGGTGCCTTTCTTTACTGTGTCTTAATAAGTGGAACATTAGCATCTGCCTGCTCTCCAGAAATGAGAGCCAGCCGGAAAACTCCAAAATGAGGTAGTGAAGGTTGGCGCAAACTTATTCTCTCTCACGTGCACTGTTTCTGGGACCAGCTTTGATTTCAGTCTTTACCCGTGAACATGGGCTTTCTCTCCGGGGAGGCGGTCATTATACCCGTCTGCCACAGCCCCTCCTGAAGGGAGGAGCAGAGCAGCTGCATTTCTCTCTGCCCTTTCAGCTATGGCCATGTCGCTTTTTAACATCTGCCCTTCTGTGGCCTTGCAGCACTGCCTCTTCCCTTAAGCCCTTTCCCTGGCTGGAGGCCAGCGTCTGAGACCTGAGCCTCAAGGAGCCATCTGAGGTCCTGCAGAAGAGCCAGGCCCAGTGTCAGGCAGGCCTGCCGTGAGCCCTGCACACAGCTGGTAGCTCTGAGGCCTTGGGCGCGGGCTCCTCCTCTCACCTGGAAAATGAGAACAAGAGTGCCCATCCTAACAGATTGCCATGGGTGTGAATAAAAAGAGGCAAGAAGTGCTCGCTGTGCTTCCAAGCTGTGCCCGTTCCTCAGGCCAGAGACTGTCCTGGGATCTCATCCCAAGTGCCTTCCCTTGGTGGACGAAGGAGTTGAATGCTTTGGTAGTTTGGAGATTTGCTGATCTTGTTTTTGGAAAGGAATAGCGGTAAGCAAGTTTGGGCTTTCTCTGACACAAACAGAAGCGGGTAACTTGAAAGAGGAAATTAGTCCTCTTAGGTTCTCGTCATCATGCTGATGAAGACCAGGCTTGTAGGGCCAAATTTAACTTCCATCCAAGGGAAAAAGAACAGCTGGGCTGTGTCACTAATCACCTAGATCCATAGCCTGAGAGCACTCAGTCTGCACAATGCGCATCAGTGGTGAAAAGACTGAAGTGGGTGCTGGCCTGACTTCTGATCCTGTTTTGAAATGCGGTCGTCCTGACTGCTCCTTTCACCTGGGCTGTTCTTGGGCAGGTGCACAAATGCCAGGCATATAAATTTGGGCTCCGTAGATGAGCCTCCAGTGCACAGAGCCAGACACCTTGTTTTAATGCCCTCTTCTTCACCCAGCTGGACTGAAGTCCATGGTAAGTGTCCCTTTGGCATGTAGAGTTTTGGGCTTCTGTGAACAAAAAGCGAGTGAAACATCTGTAAAATGTATATTTCATATTTAGGTGTATGAAATATAAATAGCTCTGTCTAGGTGTGTGCATTCACCCACCTACAAAGAGAATAAACTTGATCTTTCAGCTTTACTGAGAGGCACTCAGAAGGTTCTGGGGACCATGAGATAAAGGCTCACCTTGGCAGGAAAGTGATTAAAACAAAATCCGTCCATTTAGTTGAAAAATATCTTGGAAGTTGGTGATATCAGGGCACCTGTTTACACCCCCCCCACACACACAGTCTTCCCCACCACTGCCACCACCAAAACTTTTCAACCGAAATGGTCCGGCCTGGTTATCTGAGGCACGTCTGTTGCTTCTCGGTAGATGTGAAGTTTTCGTCATCAGAACATGCACACGCCCAACATGTTTTTCCTGCAAGTTTTTTCATCTCATGAGGTACTCCTGTAAACTCATCCTAACAAAGAAACTGTCACTGGCATTGGGAAGCGTTAAAATCACATCAGAGCCCTGGCTCATCCTTTTTGATGGTCTGTTCTTTCCGAGATCATAGGGTGTTAGAGACAGAGGCGCGCCGAGTGCAGAGAGCCAGTTGGAAGTGTGGTTTTCTCAACTACCCACGGTCTGCTAGTTGCAAGTGAGCTTCATTAACCGGTAGCAAGCCTGTGCCTGTGAGGTGGGAGAGGCAGCCTGCCGGGTGTTCTGGCACCCTCGGGGCTTTGACCCGCGCTCATTACGGGAGCTTTTACCTGTCTGGGCTGAGGTGGTGCTGCCGAGCTCTGCCCCTGCGTCTTCAGTTTAAATTTAGACCGCCCTCCCCAGGAGACATGGAGAAGACCTGTTCCCTCTCAGAGGGATGAGCTTAGAGGACTTCTTCAGGTGGGAGTGGGGAGAAGACGACTCAGTTTTTCCCCAGTATATTTTGTTTTCTGTCATTAACTTTTTCTTATATTTTACTAAAACTGACCTCACCATTTCAAACGTGGGAATCTAGTTTTATCATTTTTTTCTACATATTTTACTTGTATGTATACTCACATTATATATATGGTAGGGTTTTTTGGGTTGGGAAGAAAAGACGCCTCATTTTGAAACCTAAAGGGGGGAATAAGAAAAGCCCTTTGTAATATATTGCCATATTATCACTAAATCCCCTGACAGTTGTGACACAGACGCAAGTCACCTGTCACTTAAGCTTGAGGTCTCTTTAATTTTCTCCTGGAATTCGCACCAGGCTGTCTTTAATTTGAGGCCTTTATTGGAATTCTGAAACCTCTCTGCCTCCCCGGCTCTCAGATCTGTTCTGAGAGCTGTTACAGAATGTATACAATAACCAGCAGAGGGATTCGGAGAGGGCTGCAGCTCTGTTTATTTAACACTCTAGAGGGATTTTTGTGCTTATTCGGTCCTGGCTGCCCGGCTTTCAATATCGCTTTGACAACCATTCTGCCCTTCTCATTAATTTTAAACAGTTAAAACACAGGAAAAAGAGGAAAAAGTTTTCATTATTAAAGTGCTTTACTTTTTAATAACAGAGGATTCTGTCCGCCAGGGGAAAGGGCATCCTTACTAATTTCACATTCATATTAAAAAAAAAAATGCAGGCAAGGTGACAGTTGTGCTGCTGAGATGGCTGAATGAAAGGAGGGCAGTGGAGAAAGTTTGCATCTCACATCAGTTAAGAGGGTGAAAAACCCTTGTTAATGACAACAGCAAACGTCCACTTTGGTAGCACTGCTCCTGAGTGACTTTTCTCTTGACATTTTAGCAGATAGAACCCTTAGGGGGACCATGTACTGTGAAATCAGCTAGACTATCATTAGCCGTATAGGTAGCAGGGATGATTTGACTATGCTAAAAACATTTTCAGGATGTTAAGTCTCTATTAATACAGAGATGATGTCGACCCAAAGGATGGAGTTTTTTCTCCCCTCTCCTTTGTTCTTCCTCTCCAGTCTTAAAATTGAAAGAGAGACTTGGGGCATCTAGGTCAGGCCAGACACAAGCACTCATGCCCCATCCTCTGAAGGTGAAGGGATGGTCTGGGTCCTGCACTAGATTACTGGATTGGCCCAGTGCCCACATCAGGGGCTGGGGTGGGGAGAGGAAGTAGAGGTGAAATAGTACCACTCACGTCATTGGCATTACTTGGCCCATTGGCCTGTTGGGCTGGGATCGGTGTTCTTTTGGATCTTGTATGGAAAACATGTTTGTCTTAAGATGCAGGAAACAAAAACAACTGCATTTTTCTGGGAAAGGAAATCTTTTCTGGGGGGGGTCCTATTAAAAGGTGAAAAGAAAATAATTTATGTTTCATTTGCATTTTCCATCTGTAGGGTCCTTTTTACTGCATGGATCCCGGGTGTTTCTTACTATGTACATCCAGGCAGTCTTTGAATGCGGCTTGCTGCAATAGCCTACTCTTTAATAGGTTCCTGGGAACTCAGCTTGCTAGTTATGGGCTTAAAGGACGAGTCCAAGACATTGCCAGTCAGCCTCTCTAGGAATTGAGGAAACTTGCTCTGAAATTCAAGGATAGAAGGAATTCTTTAAGGCTGATTTTGGGGCAGGTCACTAGAACGCTCTTGAAGAGGAATTGTCATTTCCCACCAGTGAGTAGAGGGAAAGGAGAAAATTTGTAGGAGATACAGATTTTTTTTTTTGAAACAGCTTGTGTTCAGTGGTGTTCTAAATGCCTGAATGGGACTTGATAAATTTCAAGTGTTTCTAGTGGCCTTTCATTTTGAACATGTGAGAAGAGGTCACGAAGAAAAGTAAGTAAATAAATAAACAGACCTAGTCTGCTCTCTCTCAAAGCCATCCTCATCTTTGCTTGACTCTAACATCTTTATAGCTCCCTTTTTTCCCTGGTAATATTGAAAGGATTACCCTCGTTGGCCCCTAGGTGGTTACTGTGTGATTTTACTGTTATTAAATCTATTATAAACTGCTTCATTATTCCTGACTTCGACTCTGTCTCTCCTTTAATCCTTCCATCACCCTCCCAGAAATCCCAGGCTGTTGGCCCCCAGGAAATCCGAGAGCGAGCCACAGTCTTACAGACAGTATTTGAAGATTACGTGCACTCCAGTGAGAGGACCGTCTCCTGGGCGAAGAAAGGTCAGTCAGTTTCTCAGGTGATTGTGGAGCAGAGAGCCCAGCAGGGTGCTGGCCCCTCCCGCACCCCACACTTACAGAGGCCAACCAGGGGTCTCCCTGCCAGCAGAGCCTCCATCTCTGTAATTCTGCAGGGTTTGGAGGCAGACGTGGAAGGCTTTAAAGTGATATTAAATGTTAATTTCATCCTTCCCCTTCTGGCGCACAAATGAGGCTTTATCTTGGCTTACATCAGGACTAGAGCTTTGACCCAGCAGGTTGGATCTGGGGGATCTGTGTTTCTGTCTTTGAACACCAGGAAGAAGGGCTGCAGAGCGTCAGTAGAGGTAGTTGTAGATAAGCAAATTAGAAATGAAGGTAAGGGCTGGAAGTATTGGACCTAAGCGGTTCCTATTTGAAGATGCAAAGAAAAATGAAAACAATGTTGAGGTAGGGCCATAGACCAGGAACCCAATTCCTAAGAAATTTATAGAAGAGTTAGGTATTGGTTCAGTACTCAGACCCTTTTAGGATAAATCTGCCCTTGAGATCCGACATTAGGTGTGGACGTAACAGTTCACCTTGAATAGTGAACAGTGTGGGAGTGGGGCGTGAGCTCTGGAGAGCAGGTGCCTTCTCCAGGTGCAGTGTCCTAGCTGGGGCCTGACTCGGGAGCTAATGAAACTCACCCTGGGCCGGAGGACCTACAGTTCTTTCTGCTAGTTCTGTGCTATTTTGAGAAGAATGCTAGGATGCTTAGCCAGTAGTGGAACTATATCTCATCCTTTCTTTTTCTTAGAAGTAATATTTTCAGTCATTCTTTCAACAATAGTTAATTATTGAGTGGACACTGTTCTAGGTACTCCAGATATGTGAGGGATCAGAACAAACGTCCTCACCTCTATGGAGCTAACGTATTGACGGGCGCAGGTGCTGCGGTGAGCATGATAAATACAAATACATAAGTGAGTTTATTCAAAGGTGTAAGAGCTGGGAAAAATCGAGCGGAGTGAAGGGGGAGCAAGTGGTGCTGAGCAGAGTGTCTGAGCAAACCCCACGGTGACGGTGACACTGAGCAAAAGCCTGACTCGGGGCAAGCTCCGTGTCTCCTGCGGGAAGGACCTTCCAGTTAGTGGGGACAGCCAGGACGGGGCAACTCCAAGAAGGTGGTGTGGACAGAAAGAGATTGAGGCAGAATCCCAGGGCCTGGAGGCTGCTGTGTGGTTTGGGGGTTACCCTGAGGAAAACAAGCCATTGGAGAGCCTTAAGCCGGGTGGTATAATGGGACACAGGTTCGGAAAGATGTCCTGGCTGCTGTGAAAGTAGACCCTGGGGGCGAGGACAGCTGGGAGACTGGGCACTGGTCCAGTGTGGGATCAGGAAGTGAGAACAGGTTGGCAGGGCAGGCAGTGTAGCTCAGTGGCAGGGCACTTGCCTAGCATGTGCAAAGCTTTGGGTTTGATTTGATTTATAGCTCTGCAAAAATAAAAGCTAGCAAATATTTTCAGATATCTGTTACACCTTTAACACATGATAAAAGCAATGTTTGGTTGTCATAAAACTCAAATCAGAACTACAGAAGGTGAAAGATAAAAGTCCCAGTAATTGCTATTGATATGTAATTACTATATATCTTTCTAGTCTTTTCTCTAATAATAGCCTGTCCTAGCGTTTCTCAATCGTCTAAATTCCTAAGGGTTTTCCCAGGAACCTGCCTCTACAGATGGACTGGAATGTCTCAAGAGGAGTAAAGTGTTTGTCATGCTGACTTTACAGAGGCTTGACCTTTGATGACAGTTAGGAAAGGCCCAAAACAAAGTTGTCCAGCTGGACGTGGTGACGCATGTCTATAATCCCCACACCCTGGGAGGCTGAGGCAGGAAGATGACAAGTTGAGCCCAGCCTGGGCAACTTTGTGACTTAGTGAGACCCTGCCCCAAAATAATAATTAAAAAAGGGGCTGGGGGTGTAGCTCAGTGTGAAGGCCTGGGTTCAGTCCCCAGTACCCCACCACCACCAAGAAAAAAAATGTTTCAATGAAGAGAAATAAATCAAACCTACACCATCATCTTTGATTTTGATGTCAGTGGCGTTTCAGATATTTTGGTGACGCTCAGCTATTTCAAGGTCTCTAGGCTAAGTAAAAGTTACAGGAAATAATCTTATAATATGGTTTGAGTTTTCTCTAGTCTTCACCATTACCATTGAATTTGTTCAAGAAACAAGCAGTTGCTTGTCTTGTGCTGAAAGGATATTGGAGCAGGGCCACTCCCCAACATTTATATGCCCTGAAGGAAATAAATGTGTAATTTCCCTCATTTGCTAATTGATTTCCACACTGGACTGATAAGGGCATGCACAGAACCCCTTCTCATAGGTCTCAGTCGCCCCACTTCACACACAAAGCTCCTTACTTTTTTCTCTCCTGTTAGGACTGTGGCTTCTGTAGGTTTGAGGAAACACATGCCTATCTGCCACCCTAAAAACTGAATTCACAGTGCAGGGACAGCCACTGCACCCTGAAAGTTGAACTCTCTTTTGCATTTCAATCTGCATATGCAAATTCCCTACCACTGACTTGCTTCCCTTTTATGCCATTTCAGAACCTGCCTCATGAATAATTAACAAAGCAGCTGGCTTTTGCCTTTATGGCAGAAAACTCGTTGGAAACTGGGCCAAGTATGTGTTTGTTTTCCTTTTACATTTTCTGACCCAGTCATTGTTAATAGCCAGCATTTAATTGTTGTCAGTTTCCAGGAGCAGTTAGGGCTTTTTTCTCTCATTTCTTGCATCTTTCAGCTGGGGATTCAGGTTGCAAAAAAAATGGTGACATAAGTTTGAATTCCAGGCTCCTGAACAAAAATTTGGGAAAACTGAAGTCCTTTGCTTGCACATGGCCACTGCTCCCATAGCTTAATCCTCTCCAACTTCAGGCCTCCCTGCAGAGCAGGATTCTGTACATAGCATTTACGCCTGTGCTTGGAAGGGGTGCTTCTCAGAACCTGGAAAAGCCCTGCCAGTGGTAACAAGACTCCCTCAAGGTGAGCGGGGCACTTGAAGGTTTTGTCTTTGAGAGAAATGGAACAAGCCACCTTCTTCCCTGCATCCTTGGGATGGTTATTGCTGCTAGTGTTGGTTAGGGAGAGGCAAAAGTAGAGAAAAGTAGGGTTCAGGAGGAGTAAGGATATTCACCTTCCAGGCTGAGTGTTGTTCCTTTCTGCCTTCTTAGGGGTCATCCATAAGATAACTCCTATCCTGACACAGATGTCCAGGAATAAAAAAGGACAAAAATGTCCACGTAGGACATTTTAAATAGATTCCCCCTAATTTGCATACCTTAAATAGTTGGCTGGAAATAGGAATTTGCAACTATGGAGCATTCGATGTGTAATTGCCAGTCGATGTATCCATCACCGTGAATAGACGCCTCTTCTCAGTACTTCTCTTTTCCACTCTGTTGGTCCCACGGCCATGTTCCTTCTGCACATTTCTAGACACTGCCAACATGAGCTTCTTCCTGCCCTGCAGCGCCAGAAACTCCTGCTTCTCTGAATTATCCAAATAGGAGAGTGCATGCAAGTCTGCAAGGACAACCAACTGTCACTGTCCCCAGTGAGACAAGAGCCTTGAGGACAAGGAGGTTTAGTAAAATATGCAGTGTGAAATGCTGCCTGACCAGTTGTCTGGGGAGAAAACACTTCCTGCCTTTGCTCGGCAAACTCATTATGCCCGCAAAGCTGTTAGCTGGGCACCTATGTCTCCTGGGACTGACTTCTCCATGCTCACTTCTAGGATTGGTGTGGAGAAGGCCACAGGGAGGTGAGCAGGGCAGAAGCCTGCAGAGGAGTGATAGGAGATGAGCAGAGCCAGGCCAGGCTTGGAGTAAACACAGCTTACAGGTGCGGATTCAGCTGAGCTTGGTTGGGTCTTGTGTTTAGACCAGGGTTAGGGTTGGGGAAAGAAAGAGAGGTTGAGAAGAGGCTGGGATCTCCACTCCCAGCCCAGTGGGACCTGAGTGAGTGGCTCTGGCTAGGAGCCCGGTGTCAGAACCCTCCGGACAGTGCAGGCCATTTGAAGATTCTCTTTGAAAAACCTAGTCCCTAGTTATTAAAAAGGGACATAAGCACAGACTTAGAGAGGGGTGCAGAGGAGTTGCCGTGGTTATTATTTCTCATCGATTGGGAAAAGGAGTTCACTTTGCTCAGTAAATAGAGCTTTGATGGATTCCCAGGATCCTTCCAGGAGCTGATCTGCTAAAATGACACTTTTTATTACTGTTCATAAACGCCGATCTCCAGGTGCTGCTGGGATATTAACGTCTAAGCTGTGGGCAAACTTGCCAGTCCAGTGGCTCAACAAGCAGGGTGCAGGAGGCTGGTAGCTGGTCCCTGTCCTACCAGCAGTGCAGGGCTGGGCCCTGGCTAGCTTGGCACAGGAGCAGGCCTTGGAAGCTGTGAGCAGCGATGGGGTGCAGAGTGCTTTTCTTCACATCTGCCTTCCCTGCTGGAGTGAGAACCAGGGAGACATAGGTTTCCATTGTTAGAGAGCTCTTTGTGGAGGAGCCTGCAGGGAATAGGAAAGAGAGTCTTTCCTCCCTGGAATGCCTCATTAAGGCTGGAAGGTGTAGCCAGAGCTCCATCCCCAGGACCAGGTCTGGCTTTTCTCTGGCCAGCACTGGGATGTAGAAAAAGCATCCCTTTTCCTGACTTTAAACTGGGACTGCAACTTTGCTCATGGAATGTTGGGTGTGCACTGTCAGCAGACTTCTAGGGGTGAGCCATCTCCTGGACTATTTTAGTAATTAACAAATGTTCTTTTTCCTTTTAAAACTTCCATCTTCATTTCCTTTTTTACACAGTCTGCATGAGTTGGAAGCACTGTGTTGGTCAGTTCTAGATACCTTTAGGATGAACATGGCTGTAAAATCCCTCAAGTATGCTCGTACCTGGTCCCTCTGGATGGAGTGGAGCCAGGGAGTGGACGGGAGCCAAGGCATGGTTGTGGTAGAGCACTGCTTAGGGTCACTCACTGAGAGGCCGCTCACTCGCAGCATGGTAAAGCCTGAGCTTCTGAACTTTGGGTCCCTTGCATGCATTAACTATTAAAAAAACTGACATTTAATCAGGAAACATTTTTTCTTAATATAATTGTCAACAATTTCATTTTCCATAAGAAATGATGTTCTGTGTCAATCATCTTAATCTCTGCACTCATTCTTACTTCACTCACGGCTATGACAGACACATGTTTGTGCCAGGTGCTGTGCTAGGCTGTGAGGCCGTGGCAGAGAAAGCAGTGCTCTCCTGAGCGGGTCCAGAAGGGCTCTTCAGTAAACCTTGTTGGGTCTATGCAAGTGATAATTGTGCCCCTAGTTTGTTTAGGGATTCTATCTCAATCTTTTTTTTTTTTGGTACCAAGGATCGAACTCAGGACCTTGCACTTGTGAGGCAGGTGGCAGAACCACTGAGCTAAGTCCCAGCCCCTGTTTAGGGATTCTAAAACTACACAGAAGTACAGATTTATGTTGTATACATTGTAACTACCCTGGTTATGCTCTGTGGCTTGGCAAGTTAAAGTACAGGGAAGCCAGGTGTGGTGACGCACGCCTGTAATCCCAGCCCTCTGGGAGGCTGAGGCAAGGGAATCACAAGTTTGTACCTAGCCTTTGCCACATAGTAAGACCTTGTCATAAAGTGAAAAATAAAAAGGGCTGGAGATGTAGCTCAGCGCGGAGGCCTTGGGACCTCCATGCCCCAGTCCTGACAGCCTCCATATCGCTTTTCTTCCAGCTCTGCAATCCTTCATCGGAGCCTATGCTGCCTACCCCAGAGAGCTGAAGCACATCTTCCATGTGCGGTCCCTCCACCTTGGGCATGTGGCTAAGAGCTTCGGGTTGAGAGATGCTCCCAGGAACCTTAGCGTCTCGGCCGTGAAGAGGAGGAAAGGAAAGCTGAAAAGGTAAGATGATCAGGGTTTGTCGGTGGCAGTAGGTGGAAGTCAGATGGGTGTTGAGAGCTTTGTTGAGATTAACAGTGTGAGATGGTACGGCAAGCTGATAGGCACAGGGTCCTCTCTTCCATCTTCGGTTTTTGGGGTGTTACCACTCTTCTGTCTGTCTCTCAGTAAGTAAGCTCTTGGACCTAGAGGAAAAATACCTGATTTGCAGAAACTTGGTGGTATCTCCTGCTGGGCCCAGGTGTAGTGGGGCTTAATGGGCAGCAGTCAGACCTGTTGGGAGACAGAGTAACCTCTGTCCCTGAGAGTAACTTGGGGGTTTTGCCTCATCTCATGTGATTAGTGCTGGTAGCAGACCCTCACCTTGGAAGATGGGCAGCATAAGTGGCAGAGCCTTGGGTTCCAAGAGCTGCTGATGCCCAGATTCCCAACACGCTGGCTTCATGGTGGCACCAGCTGGGCACCACCTGCCACTCTCCATGGTGCTGAGTGGTCTTACAGGTGAGGGCAGTGGATCCTCTCCCCTGCTCTAGTCAGAGTGTGTCCACAACTGTCCAGGCGTCCACTCGGAGGGGAGGGTCAGTGAGGGGCGTTGCCCTGTGGGGTGGGGGCTGGCTCTGGGTCCAGCCTCACATGTTGAGAAGTTTATACAAGGCCTTTCTTTCCTCACCATACATAGCTAGAGCTCTGGAGACCCCACAAGTGCTCTGTGGGGAGCCACCATTATTACATAGCCTCGAAGTTGGGGGACATGGTGAAGAAGGGTTTGGGGACACAAAGACCTTCTTGCACTCTGCTCAGTTTCCATATGGAACCCTGAATACTCTGGACGGTGACTGCACTGCCCACCTTTCTTTCTGCATTACATACAGTGGCCCGGCCATCCTGCCCTGACTCCAGGACTGTAGGAGATGGCAGGTTTCCTGCCTGATCCCCACAGTGTCCGCTGGTTCTTCCACCAGTCCTGTCGGGCCTGGGTCTCTGGGACAGCGGTCTTAACGTCAGGGACTTGCAGTTCAGCTCCGCTCCATTCTAATATGAGTTGTGAACCATAACTTTTCTCTACGTCTCAGTGCCTCAGTTTCCTCAACAACAAAACAGGGTTACTTCACAGGACTGTTTAGAGAATCAAAATTAGGTGATACACGTGAATCCACCTTTTGAGACATGCAGGATGGTCAGACAGAGCTAGGAAGCAGATCAGTCAAGACCTGGAGTGTTAAACTTGATCTGCCCTGGGCTTGGCATGGACAGGGCTCTTTGTGACCATATGCTGTTGCCTAATTCTAGTTCCAGTTTGGGAATTGTTAAGATGCTTGACTTTTTTCCCTCATAGTCATGCCTCTCGTGTGGAACAGTGCTCCTGTGATTCTGTGAGGCGATGTCAACCATTTCCCTCCATGCTGCCATAGTGTCCTGCCTGCCCGCCTGAGACGGGCACACCAGCTCTGCTTTCTTCCTGACAGTTTGGAGGTGCAGGGCTACAGAGCAGGGTGGCACCCTGAGTCTTCTGTACCTGCTCTCTTCAGATGCAGGAGGGGCCAGGAGCCTGGGCGCCCCACCCAGGCACATGTGACCCCCAGAGTTGGGTCTCTGTCTTGGATTTGGTGTCTCTTACTGCACTTACTGCAGGGTAGGTGGTGAAACCACGAGGACACCGTGGGGCCGGGGTCTCTTGGCCTGCGTCTAAGAGTGACCATCCTGTCACCATTTCTAACATGCTGATTCTTAGGGGGGTGGGACTAGACCTGCCAGATGATGACGGCTAACAAACACATCTCTGGGCCGAGGACATAGCTCAGTGGCACCACGCCTGCCTTACAAGGTCCAGGTCCTGAGTTCTATCCCTGGTACAGAAAGAGAGAGAAAGAAAGAGAGAGAGGAAGGAAAGAAAGAAAGAGAGAGAGAGAGAGAGGGAGGGAGGGAGGGAGGGAGAGAGATGAAAGAGAGGGAGAGAGAGAGAGGAGAGAGAGAGGGAGGGAGGAAGGAAGGAAGACATCTCTGTTTATTCCTCTCTCCCAAAATAAATACAATCGCAATATTTTATTATTAGCAGATGATCTACACTTGTGACTTGAAATTTCATTAGCAGGTGTTAAGCCAGCTAGCAGCTCTCCAGACCAAGAAGTCCGAAATCCCGCCCAAGCCAGGCTGGAGGCAGTCAGGCGGGGGAGCTGGAGGTGGTATTGTCCTTACCTTTAGAAGCCGCTAGGGAGAGAGCAACCACCACCTCCTGCCTCAGCTGACCCTGGCTAGCAGATGGGCACCAAGACCACTATACCCCTGTGAGCAGGGGATTTACAGGGCTTTATTCAGGGAAGAATGGGCTGATTAGCCGATAAAGAGCATGTAAGATGGTATGGGGCAGCCTTTGATGTCTGGCTGGCGCGGCAGGGAGCCGGGTGGTGAGTGACAGCAGTGTGTCACAGGATTACTCCGCAGTGCCAGTGGCGCTCTCTGTCCTTGCCATGTCACCACTCTGTTACAGCCACTTTTTCCGTTGTTATGCCCTTCTTTTGAAGGCATTTCTCTCTGCACTCACCCCGCCCCTGCCTTTCTAATGCAGACGGCGCTGGAGGACCCAGTGGGTACCTTTTTGTGCTGGGGAGTCTTGTCACTCCTGGAGGACAGTGACTTTGCAGCTAATGTGCACATGGACCATATAATTGTGGTCAGGGTGAGGAGCAGAGAAAACCTGACAGATTGTCCACACCTCAGTCAAGGCTCAAGCAAATGCCGGTTCCTGCTTTTTGAGAACTGGAAAGAAAAGTCCATGAAAGCCCACAAGGTGCAGAGAGTGGTGCCGTGGCACCATTATTGTTCTGGCTGCAGTGTCTCCTCTGAAATCCGTCTGTCAAGACAGAGAATGGGTTCTTTATGTTTCGTGCAAGTGAGTAAAATTGGAACCCTAAATTCTCTAAACTGTTCACTTTCTAGCCTGTGGTATTTTCTACCATAGCAATTAGCTAGTATGCACAAACCTGTGATATCTCAGACCAAATCCATTAGGCTGAATAAAACGCCCGTCTCACCTGTCATCAGACGGCTGGGAAAGTGTGAGCTGAGGGCAGGGCAGATTAGGGTCCTGTTGACTGTTAGGCATTTTCATGCAGTGTCAGAGGGGATTTTATCTTTTATACTGCCTTTATCCCTGTAACCAGCCACTTTTTAGAACAAGAAAATAAATAGTTAACATCCCCAAATGAGATCTTAATCACCAGGTCTTTGTCAACTTTTACAGTCCTCATTCTGAGAGGAAACAGTAAATGCCTTCCCCTGCACATAGAAATACAGTCATAGTCACAAAACCTCTTCTGACACCTACACACAAACCTGTCAAAACAAACCCCCTCCCCACACTCCTACACGGACGTGTACACAGGGAGTTGGTGCTGTTGGTAAAATATTGAATGGCCCCTTAGCAACATCCATCACAAAAACAGCATTTTCCTCCCGTGAAATGCAGTTCTTATTTTGAAGCTATGTAGATTCAGCAGTTCCTGAGAAGCAAAGGTAACATACTCCAAAATCACCATCTTTCCAGGCAACACGGAGATCCAGAGCTGTCTGTGCTGCAAGCGGAGTTGTGTTGTGTGCTGGGGTGTGTGTGTCTGTCGGGGCCGTCGTGCTCGTGAGTGGAGCAGGTCCAGGGATGCTGAGCAGGCGAGCTGTAGAGAGCCGCAGTTCTCTCACTGTTCTCTCATTCACCACCTGTGCAAAATGGTCCAGAAGATAGAAATTAGTGTGCCTTAAGACCTTAGTGTTTTGTGGCAATACGAAAGAGCGGGTCTGGTGTTTCTAGCCACCCATCTCCCAAGAATCATTTGCTGTACCCCAGCACCACTCTTTCCCCAAGCGGCGGCTTCATTTATAGCCAGCTACTCAAGACTGGTTTTGCCCCAGCTTCCACCACCATCTGTGTCTCTCTGATGTTGTCTTAGTGCTCAGAAACATCTGGGGTAGTGGCACTATTAGTAGAGAAACAACAATCTCAATGGTTGACTATTCTTATAGTTTCATCTTATTTATGTAAATTTTCTGAGACCATCCTTGCCCAAATGTTACCTGGTAGTTCCTAATTTTATCAAATAAGGTAAACGGTGTGAACTTGGGTTGTCCTCCCCTCAGTATTCCTAGATGTGTGTGAGCTTGCCCCGGACTGGCCCCACTGGAGGGGGCTTCACGGCAGAGCTGCATGTTTGCCCTGCACTGTGGAGCATTTCCTTAGCCTCTGTACTTCTCAAGTCCTAGAGCCTTTTTTTCCCCCCTAAAATAAGTAAGCATCCTTGGAGAAATCCTCCGTGCGAGGCAGCCCTTCCTTGTACAGGACACACATTGCCAGTCTTCCTGTCTGGATTACCGCAACTGCGTTATCACTGAAATGCACGCTGGAGGTTGTGAGGGCTCTGGTTTTTGGCATCCTTCATCTTCGAAGGCCCTGCTGTGTCATTCACTTATCCCATCATTGTTAGGTACTGGTGAGCACCGAGTGCCCGGGACAGTGCTGTGGCATGAGTTTGTTCCCCTTCACACTCTGCTTCCTGCCACAGTGATGCCACAGATTGAGCTTCAGCCTTGCTGCTTGTGTCCTGTGTGCCTCTGGACAGGTTACTCGGCCTCTCTGTGTGTGGGTTCCCTTGCCTCTCAAAGCGGGGTACTCGGGCCTCACCTTGTCCGTGTCATCATGGGTTAAACCAGCTGCTGAGCATGAAGCATCACTGCAGCATCTGGCACGTGGAGAAACGGTAGCATTGGCAGCCATGGCAGAGACCCTGTGACTGTTGCTGCTTGCCGCTGGCCTCCAGCATCCTCGGTGTTGTGGAAGGGGGAGGGCAGGGTGTACAGAGCTGCCTGCAGCACCCTCAAATTTGTCTCACCAGGACCAACCTTGAACACTCAGCCCAGTCCCTGGAAGGCTAGCATTAAGGAGCTGCAGCTGCATCCCCCTGTAAAGCAATATTCTCATCATTAGGAGCAGCTTGCCTGCCAATTTTTACGTGGCA